CAGCATTAATGCTCTCATGCTATTAGCGAGGGCTGCAGCAATTACATCCTCATCAGATAGACTGTGCCGGTTCCCCCTGCCTTCAGCCCATTCTCGGCAAGGCTTTGCACCAGGGAGCCCCTAAGAGCACTTCAGAGCCTAAGGGGCTGGGGTTGCAGGATCGGCCCCAGGGAGCCATCACTGACTGCTGGGGGGATGCGGGGCAGGAGGGGGGAGCTGGCTCAGAGCCTGCTGCTCCCATGGGCCATGCTCAGTGCTGGTCAGCGAGGAGGCAGCGCTGCTCTGCGGGGTGGCTCCCGTGCGCGCTGACAGAGGGGAGCGGGAGCCCTGGCCTGGGTTTTGACAGTGTTTTATTTCAGGTTTAGTGTTCTCTATACAAAAAAACTCATCTGCTCTTTAGTGCATGGTTCAAGAAACACTGTCCCAGTGGTTTGGCCTTCGTCCGTCTCATGCGCTCGGTTTAGAGGTCCTTAGGTTCAACGTCTGTTCTTCCATAGTCCATAAATCCTCTTGCTGTAAACTGTTAACTTCACAGCCTCAGCTGTACGTTTCCCATTGGAACAAGTGGGTTAACGCAGAGGTGTGGGGTTTTTTTTTGCTTTCAAAACAGAAAAGGCAAATAAATACACAGAGTAGTTGAGAACAACCGGGAGGTTTCACAGAGAGGATGGATGGATCGCGAGGTATTTACAAATTAAAGGGGAATGAAAGAGCCCAAAACTTCCCTTCTGATGTGAGCAGGAGGAACGAACACTGAGAACTCTGGACTGCAAAGGAAGGGCTTTGCTCTGGGTTTGATGGGGTTTAGACTGGGTTTGACGACCAAAGCCCGATGCCCACTCATGAAGGACATGGAGAGACAGGCGCTGCTGGGCATGGGGAGCTACTGATGCGTTGGGTTGTTAGGACCAGAGAAGCTTCGTTATTCTCGTTAATAGAACAGGTCTTAGTGCAAGAACTAGAACATGGTCTCCTCTTTATGTTCCACAAGGTTTGCTTATTGCTGAACTGAACCGGGTGCTGCTGGCACACGTCAAGCCTGGTGCATGGGGTGCAGGTTGGACCCGCAGCTCTGCTGGGACCTGCGCACTGAGGAGAGGTGCTGGGACCCACCAGGATGGCCGGTGGCATGGATGGAGCAGTGCTGCGTGCCAAGGTAAGGCACAGCAAGGGGCTCCAGTGATGGCTAGTGCCGTGCACCCATCCTGCTCCCCAGTGCCACACACAAGTGACTAATGCAGGGACTCGGGGTCTGCCATTGAGAGAAGGAAGCGCTGGCAGGGGGGTGCTGTCGGGACATCACGACCGGATGGATGCAGCATCGCTTCAGGGAGAATCGGAGCAGCCTCAAGGTCACAGAAGTGTCCTCTTGTGTCCCACACGTGTGCTCCTCTGGCTCACAGCAGCCAAAGGTGCTGTGCTGGGGAGGCGCAGGCTGCGTCCCTGCGCTCGGATGCAGGCGCCAGAGTCTGGATCTTGTCTCTGGAGGAGGTTTTGGCTCAGCCCAGTTTAGATAAAGGCTCAGATTTGCAAGCTGGGAGCTGGACCCAGGCTCTGCTCTCCCCAGGATGATTTTGAGCCTGTCTCTTTGTTGGTGCCCAATTAAAACCCCTTATGGAGATGTATCTGCTGCAAAAGGTGAAGGTGAGGCTGTGCAGGTCCCAGAGAGGGATGTCAGCCCTGGGATGGAGACTGAGCCCTTAGGAGGAGTCCAGCCCTTGGAGCTGGTACAGATCCCCCTGAGCATCTCTGCTCACCGTGGAGGTCACGCTATAGGCAGCAGTGGGGGTGACCAGCCTGTACCTGCTGGAGAGGGGCAGCTGGGGATGGAGACGCAGAGCAGCTCTTATGGGGTGACACCAGGGACAGGCAGACACAGCCACCGGCACAGAGCGCACCCAGACAGAGGTGCTCCTGGTGCAGGATCTCCATCCCTCTCCTAGCGCTCAATGGAGGCTCCCTCAGAAGCGTGGCTGTGAGGTCCCTGTGGGGTGAATGCATTTTGGGGGTGGTGTGGGGTCACCTTGGAGTGGTTGTGGTGGTTGGAGCAAGCCAAGTGCTTTGCTCCCTCGATGCAGTAACTGCACGTGCAAACGTCTACTGCCTCTTTAACAAAGGGAGTAAAACACGTGAAGCTGAGGATGAGTGTTGGACTTGGAATTCCCTTTTGGCTCCAGAACTGTGGGGGAAGCTTCAAAGAAACGTTGAACCTTTTACTGCTCCTTCTGATTTCTGAGTGATTTTTATACCAGGCGAATGTATGAGGCTACACATAACTTACACTGAGGTTCCCCAGGTGCTCTGCAGGCATCTCCTTCCTTTTCTGGTTACTTAACATGGTTATAGGACTCTATCACGGGTTCACGAGGCCTTTGGGGGCAAGGGCAGGAGGCTGGGCTGAGGTCAGCTCCTTCCCTCCTGAGACAAGCACTGCAAAGGGGGAAATACTTCATTTCCAAGAGAGGTTTGCTTAGGAAAATGGTGGTTAATGACAGGACAGAAACACAGGCTTTAATATAAATGGCACGTAATACAGATACATGACACAGACTGCCCTGCTTCCAGGAATGCCTGACCAATTCCTTGAGGTCTGGAGGTGTTGCGTGGTAGCCAAGGGGCTTGTGGTCCCCGGTAGCGGTTGGTCCACAAAGCAGCGAGGCTCTGATGTGCCGGGTGTGATGGAGGTGCCCAGCTCCCACAGCGGAAGCTCCCACAGCAGAGGCTGTCGTTTCTTGCTCTCCTGGTTTCCACTGGTGCTTGGAAGGGTTTTGCACCAACTCAACCTTGGAAGCGCAGCCGTAGGCTCGGGAAGCGGTTGCCCCACAACCGGGGGCTGTGTTAAGTTTGGCCCGGTGTGTTTGCTTTAAAACGGGATACAACTGCTGCGTGTCCTGGGAATGGGCTGGAGATGCCTCCTTAAACCAGACCAGTGCTGAGTGGCAGCGGCAGGAGTTGGCTTGTCTCGTGAATGGGTTTACGCTGATGGGAGCAGCGAGATGCGTGGCTCCTGCTCTGTGAGGTGACACGGATGGAGGACCCTGCAGATGGGTTCCTGTGCAGTGCCCTGGGGTAGCAGGAGCCCCCCAGGATGTAGGATGGGGTCTGCCTGTTTACACCAGCCTAACCCCTCCCTGCTCCTTTGCTGTTGGGTTTGCATCCAGCCCTCTCCTGTTTGCTCTCTGTGGTCCAGCAGTGGGGCTGACTGGATGCGGGCCCTTCCCTGAGGAGCAGGATAGTTGTGCCATTAGCAGCTTAAAGAATGTGGCAAAGTCCCATCTCAACAACCCCTGTTAGTAGTATTCTTGTTAGCGGTGCGTCTTCAGAGCAAACCAGCTGGGAAGCTAAAAGAGGAATTGCATTAATCCTATGGCGTGTAATCCATTCTGCCGGCCAAACCCACCCTCCTTGGAAACAGAACGGAAGCAAGATCCATCCTCCCATCGCTCCGTGCAGGACCCTGCTCTCTCAGCGAAGGTACCTTTGGTTGTCAGTGGGAGAGCACACACAGTGAGCGCTGCCCGCTCAGCTCCGTCTGCCACCAACTGCCCTCCGCTGGGAGCTGCCCCGGCATCCATCCTGCTCCTGCTCCTGCTCCTGCCGCTCCGGCGGCTCGGAGCCCAGCCTTAGGGGCGCGTAAGCGGGTGGGGGAAGAGGATCAGGTCCTTGGAGCTCGCGGGAAGTCCGAAGCTGTGTAAGGCATGAGGAGGAGCGCTCCCACCCGAGCCGCGCGCCACCGGGTTAACGTACATGGAGAGTGCCCTTGGGACGTGAGGAGGGGAGGCTGCCCCGGTGCTCGCTCCTGGCAGGGTCCCGGCCAGGGTGGTTGATGGAGGGGGGAAAGGCCACTGTCAGAGATGAGGAGGGGGTTTAGTGGAAAACACTGTAGAGCTGGCTCATCCCTGGTGCCTGGGGAAGACGTGGACTCGGGTCCTGCCTCCCTCCCTGGCTCCCAAAGGATGCACATCCCTGAACTGTGCAAGCTGCTGATGGGGAGCTGCGGGGAATCCTCCACCCAATCCCTTGGGTGCTTCTCATCCTGACCTTTGGTTCCATCTGGTTTTCAATATGTGATTTCCGGTCCCCTCATCCTATGTTAATACTGGTCCTGCTTCCGCTCCCTCTTTGCTACATAAGATACATGGAGTTGCCTTTAAAAGAAAGCAGGCATGGTCGGGGGGAAGTTCCCCCCACCCAATTCTTACAAAGCAACGACTAAACCCAAATGGTTTGCCTACAGTTACCCGGCAAGCAATGCTGTTCTCCAGGGCTTGGAGGGTGAGCGGCACCTGAATGGCCTTCCACAGGTCCCACAAGCTCTTCTGCAGCCTCTTGTCTCTGAGGATGCTCTGGAGCCCTGCCGGGGGGTGAGTGATCACCCCATGGGCTTTGCAGTGGGGATGGATGGCAGAGCCTCGGCACCGATGTGAGTTATGGTGCCAAGGGCAGTGATGGGAGCCTCCCTTCCATGCATAGGTGCTGCTGGATCTGTTGGGAAGGAGGTGGTGGTGCTGGCAGCTTGGGAGAGGCTGTGGGCAAGGTGCTGCCGTGAGGATGGACATCTCAGTCACACAGTGCCGTGGTGTCGCTGCCCAAAGACCCTCTGCTTTCCTCCTGCCGTGCATTTCTGCTGCTCACCCTTTCCCCTCCCCACGTTCACCTTTTGGTTTCCTTCCCCCCTCCCCTCTTATCTGAAACCTTCCTGTAAAGATTAAAAAGAAGAATTGTTAACTCCCTCCCAAAAAGAACCAAAGGGGCCTTGGGGGGGGGGCAGCTGAGACCACCCCATGTCCCTCACCAGGCTGGCTCGGGGTACTGGGACCAGCCCTGAAGCTGGGGTGCAGCTCGAGCATCCCGCTCCTCCAGCCCCTGTGGCTCAGCCCAGCTTCCAGCTACAGCTCCAGCCCATCCGTGCCCCGGGAGTCCTTGCTCTTTGCGTGTTTGCTAAGGAGAAGATGGCATCGGCAGCCCCTGGGCTGCCTTTTGCTTGGGGTTTAAATTGGTTTTCTATTTTTTTGTTGTGTTTTTTCTTATCATTGTTGGTTGCTTCATTCACACGTTGCTGTTGGCGGCGGCGGCGGCTGTTGGTTAACCCCCATCCACTACGAACACCTCCAGCTCTTTGTGGGTTCAGTGCATTGCGCTATGCCAACGAGTAAATAGCATTGACTGGGGAGGTGGCTTCCGAGCTCTCGTTGCCTTCGGTCTCCTCTTTGTCCTTCTTCACCGTGTACTGGCCGATAAAGGAGCCGTCCTCATTAAACTGCCCTTCTCCCCCCTCTCCATAGTCCACCAAGCTATCGTCACTCTCCTGCTGCTTTATCGTGCCGTCCAGGGAGGTCTGGCTGTTGGGCAGGGGCTTGTTGTCTTCATCGCTGGGTAGCAGAAGACAGACAGACACCGTTAAGGGTTGAGAACAGGGCTAAGAACCTTCAGCCAAGGTCTGGATATTCAAAAGACAGATCCAGTGTGCGCATACATGGAGCAGAGCCCCCGCGTGTGGGATGCTCTGGGTGCAGACAGCAGAGTCATGGTGTGTCTGACCCGTGTGCGAAGGCTGGGAGGCATCCTCCACGAAGGAGGAGTGCTGTGGTGGGTGTTTCTGCAAGCCCAACCTTCGTGGGTTTAGTTTATGGCAAGCAGTTGTGGGGTTTTATCCTCTATTACATACAACGCTTAGATCAGTCCAACTGGATGCATGTTCTAAATATCCTTCCCTTGTCAGTGCTTACATTCTTTCTTTCTGTTAGCATTTTAGCTGCCCTTGGTGGAACCTGGTTTAATGAGGTTTGCTTCCAGGTTTCCTTGCATAACCCCCCCACTTGGCTGTTGAGATAGCTACATGCAATGGGGAGTGCTCTCAAAGCACTGGGAGGGGGCATGTATAGGATGCCAAGTTCTGTGCAGCTTCCAAAACTCATGGGAATTTACCTTTCCAAGCTTATTTCTGAGCATCTAAAGCTTGTTTGCTCAGTTCTTTCTCCTTTTCTCTTTTTCACTCAAAAGATTAAGCCAGGTCACTGTAAAATAAATAGTCTGACCCACAGAAATAATCCCCAACCCTTTAAATAAACCCTTTTACCAAAGAAACAGGGCAAAGCTGTTTTCTCTCTGGAGGGCAAAGGCTGGTATCTCATCAATCCAGATAACGTTGTGTGGAGGATGAGAGTGGGTTGCTATATATAAAAGGTAATTTTCATATCAACTCGTCCTTACTTCATCTTTGATCTTGGGGCCAGCATGCAAATCGTGTGTTATTCCTCAGGGTATCACACATGTGCCTTCTATTTGTCCTCCAGCCTCCACCCCTGACTCCCTGTTGGGGTTGGTTTAGTTCTGGCCTCCCCAGCATGACTCTCAACTCTGTTCCTTCATTTCCCTTAAACCCAGTGCAAGTGCAGGGCTTTGATTGCAGCCTTTGGTAGTCGGTGCCCACACAAAGGTGTTTGCTTCCCACAGAGAAGCACTTTGCTTGGGCCAGGGAGCAAACCCCTCTTTAGCTGGGGAAGGCATTAAGTCTCTCTCATGCCATTTAATTAATGGCATCAGCTCTGTACAGTGGGGGAGGAATTTGGTATCCCACAGCAGAACACGCAGCTTTCTCCTGGATATCCTTCTATCAGCACTTTGTGCATTAAAGCAATATCACAAAACCCAATATTTGAGGCCTTGTGTTAACTTGGCATCACAATAAAACATAACTTGTTAGCTTGGAAAGCAGCTTCTTTTACGGGGGTGAGGAGGAAGAGAATTCAGCCTGCAAGCAGGGCTGCCTGTTAGGAAGCTTAATAAATGCCAAGTAGAGAGTGGCAAACCCCAGCTCCCTTCAGTTGCAAACCTTCCCCAAGGTTTGGGCTTTGGTTACAGCTGAATCTAGAGCCAGATTTTCCCTAAGGGGGGGTTCGCTTGTGCCTTTCTTGCACATACCCTTGGGTTTACCTCTCTCTGTTAGTGTTTATCCTGTTAGTGCATTAGGAGGGTGAAGCAGAGAGGCATCAGCAGCTTGATGCATTATAACCCTGTTAAGATTCGGGGGGGGGGGGTAAGTGGCTGATGTGTGTGTTAGGGAACCAGAGCACCCAGATGAAAACCATGTGGGAAACATTGTCCTGAGCTGCATAAATCATTGAGGAGGGGGGGAGGCTTGAGCCTGGGCTGAGACCAAGAGCGGGCAGGTTGTTTCGCATAGAAAGGCTTTTGGCTTGTGTCCCTTGCCACCATCCTCTGGGTGTCTGGCATCAGGGTGAGTGCAGCAAGGGCATCATCTCCAGGTCCAGCTCCACCAGGAGGGATGAGCTACTCGAGCATGTGGCTGGGGATGCCCAGCATATCCCAAGCTAGAGGCGCATCACTGGACGTGGGGGTACCCTCCGATGCCAGCAGGAGTTGGAGGGATCTTGTTCAGTGTGTTAGGTGGAGGCAGGTACGTGGGAATAGGGAGGGGGAGGTAATAGTTTCAGCTCTAAAGAAATAAATAGCTCGAAGGAAGGAATATAAAGAAAAAGCTAAATGTGCCGGACTTCTGGCAGCACGTGGTCCTACCTTTCAAGAGACCTTCATGGTCCATGTGGATAGACCAGGTGAAAAGGAGAAGAAAGAATGGGAATAAAACAGAGAGAAGCAGAAAGAGCCTGATCAGAGAGAGATATGATGAGGTCTGCATTTACAGGGGCAGTGCTACAAACCAAACCGTCTGCATTCCTCATGGAGCTGATTGCCTCGTTATACCAAATGGAGCCGGTTTAATTGAGCCTCAGAGGCTTCCCCTGGCAAGCTCATGCAGAGCAGCAGTGGGTGGTGCAGGTGGGCTCTTCACAAAGGGCTTGTGGTTGAAGTCCATTAGCAAGTGGCTGGGGACCAGGATGTGCAGCGGGACAAGGGCCAAGTGAGGGGGTTGCTCAGTTTCCCCTCCAGTCTTGTGCTGGGTTTCCTTGCTGTCGCCATGCACGAGTCTCATGTTATCTACTGACAACCTCCACCTCCCCTGGCTGCTTCACCAGACCTCTGCTCACATGGCTGGCTCCATGTCCTCCTGTCTCAATGCCTGCTGAGATGGTCCATTCGGGACAAGCTGGCACTGCCTCCACCATGTAACCTGTGCCATGGGTTATCCTGCATCTCAACTGGAGCCCACTCAAGTTTCCCTTCCCATTGGCCAGGGTTTCCAACTGACTCCCCCATGAGCAGCTTAAACATTTGGTATAATGAGGCACAGTCACTGGCACAGAACATTGGCCAAGGATAATGGTTTCCTGCTTTGCAAACAAGCTTCTCAGCTTAGCCTCTGCTCAGGAAAACCATTATTCTGTTAGTGGAACAGGAAGATGTGACAGTATCTCTTAATTATAGGCTGCAGAGATTTGAAAGTTGCATGCACGGGGCATTAAGGATGTGAGATATGATGAGAGCGTATCAGACATGCTATGTGGAGGTGGGGAGGGAAACCAATGAAGAATTCATGTCAGCTCAATCCCTGTCCTTGCTTGAAATACTAATTGCTACCCTCCTTGAGCCTGACGTCACAATCAGGTTGAATCTTAATCAGCCAACAGGGTTCCATCTCAGTCCTTCAGGTTCACCTTCCTTTCTGCCTCTCGTTACTTCTCCCATGAAACCCGTTGTTCCTGAGGATGGGGCAAAGCTCGAGGGTGGTTGGGGATTGGTTTTGGTTGTTCTTGCTTGACATCTATGGGATGGCGTGATTGGAACTGCAGGAGCATCTTGGAGCTTTCTTATTGCCCTTCTACTGACCTCTGCCTTCAGCTTGCAAACTTTGGGAACGGGGCTGTCAATGGAAGCTTGAGCTTCAGCCAAGCAGAAGCTGCTGTGTGCTGGGATGGGGGATTTACCCTGTTCCTTCCCACTGCCTGGAGGGCAGTGACCTTGGATGGTGCCTGGGCAGTAAATGCAGCACTGGGACTGCCTCAGTGCTGGCAGCCATGCCAAGAGCTTGGTTTTAATCCTGTGCAAGGCAAGTGGTCCCCATGATGCAATTGCCTTGGGAGGGGTGCAGTGAGGAGGTCTGGCCTGCAGCCACCCCAGCGGGCTCTGGAGCAGCAGGTCTGAAACCAGTGGGTACGGCCAGGAGCTCGGCTACCGAGACCTTGTCTGAGGTGCAGGGGATGGGGCTGAGCCCACAGGGTTGGGTGCAAGCCCCTCCTGGGTGAGGAGAGCTTCCAGGTTTGCTACGTGGCGTTTACCCCATCCCCACATCTGGGCACCGAGAGCATCTCTGCCATGGCTCAGAGCATTAAGGGGACTCAGCTGCCCAGGGAAGCTGTGGCTGCCCCATCCCTGGCAGTGCTCAAGGCCAGGTTGGACACAGGGGCTTGGAGCAAGCTGCTCCAGTGGAAGGGGTCCCTGCCCAGGGCAGGGGTTGGAGCTGAATGAGCTTTAAGGCCCCTTCCAACTCAAACCAGGCTGGGATCCTATGAACTTATTCTGGTTCCTGCTGGGGTGCGTTTGTCCTCTGCCTCGTGCCAGCAGCAGGCTGGGGAGCTTTGGGCTCCAACATCCTTTGTAGGAAAATCGTTGCTACTGCAATGGAGTTACCGTGCTCCTAACGACATCAGTGTGCTTGTTCTGAGGGCTGCAGCTCTCCCACCTCCACTTATGTGCTGCGTGCAGGCAGATGCCTTCCTTTTGCTTCCTCTAAAGCCTTCGGTGGAACACGAGTGTCTTGCTACATCCCTCGCTGAATTGTAAATAAGCTCTTTCCATCTTTGCTACCTCCATTTGTAACGCTAGAGGTATCAGTAATGACACAGGCTTTAATTAACCCCTGTTTTGAAGGCAGGAGAGAAATTCCTGCTGCCTGAAAGGGCTCTGGATCATCCAGCTCACGTGGAAAGGGGCATTTTAGTTATTTAAAGGAAAGCCAAGCCCAGTTCAGGGCTCAAAGGGCAAGCTGGGTGTAAGCAGTACACCCCCTCTTCTATCAAGTGTGGGCAAGCCAATGGGATCTGACACATTACCTGCTCGTTGGGGCAGCCACCCCCAGCAGCGGGGCTGCGAGTGCTGCATTGCACGGGAGCAGGCTTGGGAGAGCCTTGTCCCTTCCTGATGTAGCCAGGGAGCTTTCCTGGAGCAGAAATGGGCACTGCTGCTGCTTTGGGTGAAACTGAAGTGGTTTCAGCAGAGCCTTGCAGGGCTGGGGTTTGCCTTGGGACCTGACAGAAGAGCATTGGCTCCATGCAGGCAGGTCCCCGAATCAGTGCTCTGAATGCTTTTAGGGCTCATCTGCTGATCCAAACATAGCTTTTCTCTCTGGATACTCTCTTATAATTGGGAGAGAGGCTGAGCTACAGGGTGATAGACCTGGAATATCCCCAGGCTGCTGCAGAGTTGATGTGTTTTGTGTGTGTTAGGGGTGACACTGAGCTGTGCCCCAGGTACCTGCTGCCAGAGCCCCAGCTCCCTGCCTGGACTGGTCCTCCCAGGCTGCCGTAGGGAAAGGAGGAGACCCCTGCAGCATCCTCACAGCCTGGTTCCTCTTCCAGGGATTTAGGCAAGGAGATGTTGCCTTTGGTAGAGGGCTTGCAGAGGGAAGGAGGCAGGAGGAGGTGAGGGCTGTGATGGCTGGGAGTGGGGCTGATGGGGAGCCGGGGGGACACATGCCAATGGGAGCATACCTGTAGTCGAACGACCCGTCTTCTACATTCTTGTCTTCAGGATTGAGATGCTCGTCTTTATTGTCTCGTACTGGAAAGAAGCACATGAGCAATGTTCACGTTAAAGAGCTGTACAGGAGGTAAAAGCTTTATGGGGTGTAACAGCAGCTGGTGTTGAGGCTGTGAGAAACCTGAAGGGTGAGGTACAGCTTTTCATTGCCTGGTAAAACCCCAGCGCCAGGAAGGGCTTGCAAGGGGTGTTGCTGTGTAGTGGCCCCAGGGCTCAGATAGCGAGTGAGGATGTGAATTCCCTTAAGCCTTATCTTTACTTTGCAAAACTTTAATGAGGTTTTGGCCTGAAAAGGTCCTTTTCTAGATGAGGACAAGAGAATTTGCAGAGTTAGAGGCTGAGTTGAGCATCACCGGAGGATCCAGCTCCACAGAACTGAACCAGAGCCTTAATGAACTGCAATGCTTCCCACTAATAAGAGTTCCCACTACAGAGAAAGCAAAGCCCTCGTAATCACAAGCATCCATCCAAGAGCGAGCCAATCTGATTAGCCCCCAGAAGCCTGGAGATGTTTAAACCATGAGCACAAAGGATTGCCATGCAAGGCTCTTACCTGGGTATTTCCCACCTCTGCTCCTTTTAATGAAGCAGACGATCAGCAGGATAAGGACCAGGAGAGCGATGGCGCACATCAGCCCGATGAACCAGCCCTGCGTGGCGATGTCCACCTGGTTCTTGGTGTAAGCTGGGGGGAAAATGGAAAGGGAAAATAACCAAACCCGTAGGGGATGGGCCAGAAGCACAGAGGGGATCGTCAGACACAGTCCACTGGTTTAGACATTGTCTGTAGGCCTGCATTGGTGTGTGTCTGCGTGTATTGACCAGGTTATCTGAGGCTGTGGCACAGGGATCTGGCTTTTTGTTTCCTTTTGTGGCATTAGGTCAACTCAAGGTTTTAGCAGGAGCTACAAAGGGTCACAACATAAAGTAAAACCTAGCACAGACCAGAGAGAAAGGGACATTGCAAATAATGGCAGAAGAAGCTGGGTAACAGATCTGATCTTTCATTTGCTGTGTCTGAAAACTGCCCGGGAAGTACCAAGGTCTAAAAGAGATGTGCTGAGCAGATCCATGCCTGGTGTCCAGTGGGGCTGAGGAGCACCCCTGGGTCCAGAGGGCTGGGAACAACTGGGATTCTTGCCTGTACAGGGATTACAGAGGCTCTGCTGCCACCCCACAGGGGTCCTGCTGCTGTTGGGGGTCTCCAGTGGGGGGGAAAGAGGGGACTGGGGAAGCCCACCAAGACTTGGCCAAAGGACGAGTTGGGACAGGGTGGGAACAGCTCATTGAGGACTGTCAGCTGGGTCCTGGGTAATGAGAGGTGTTCTGGGCACACTGAGAGGTCTGCTCTCCTTGGGCAAGCTCTATAGCACTGCTCCTAGCATGAGGCTATTCAATGCTAATATGGTTCATACCAAGCAAGGAGGTGTCCTGTGCCCCAACCACCCCTGTGGCTCCTAACGCCCGTGTCCTCCCTCACGTACTCTGACTTCTTGATTGCAGCTCCCGTACACGGTCACAAAGACAAATCTGTGTCCTATAAATAGCAGCAAGCTGCCATGTTCTGGCTCTCATTGACATGCACTTCTTATTCAGCAAGACAGAGCAGAGGAGAAAATAACCTTCAGCGCAGCGGGGGGGCTAAATTTAACCAGGCTGCAGTGCAAACAGAGATGGGTGTTCCTGGCAGGGGCATGGGAGAGCCGAGCTGGATGGGACTGAGTTGGGATTTAGCAGGGTTTTGCCTGAAACGGGCCAGGCTGATGCAGCAAGCATCCTCTTTGGTGCCCGTGTGACAAAACCCAGGATGGTGCTTCCAAAGCAAACATTGAACCTATTCTGAATGAAAGGTTCTTGTAAGAGACAACAGCTTTGAAACCGGATTGAATCGGTTCAGTTCCTAACCCACACCATCTCGTGGCTCTGAGCATGTACTTGTTCCATGCAGATTGAATCCAAGAGAAGAGGTGCTTTCCTTAGGATGAAATCTAAGCAGGTAATTGCAGCCAGACTGTGACAAGGAAAATCAGATGGAAGAGGAGAATGAGCAGAAAGAGTTCTGTTTGCTAAAGGAATGATCTCAGGTCCTGAACACTGTGAGCAGCACCGAGCTCCTGCCTCCCATTGCCTTGGCTCTCTCCTGCTTCCCTTCCCTCTAATGCTGCCACATTTAATATGTACCTTCAGTACAACCTGAGCTATGAGGTCCTCAAAGATGCACTTGTAATGGAGACAATGAGATTAGAGCAGCAGAGCTGAGAACTGGATTCAATTAGCTGAGTGCTTGGGGAGAGAAGGGGAAGGAAAGCTTTACTGGGAAGCTTTGAAATGGAAACCGATTGTATTGGTGCTCCTGGTGGGATGGGGTTCCTACAGAAACCCCTGCTAAGGAGGAATAAGGGGGCCCTCAGAGAAGTGGGTTTGTGCCTCCCTGCAGCTTGGGTTTTGCAGGGAGGGAGGGGTTTGGGTACTGAGGGGATCCTGCAATAGGATCATGGCACTGCCTAGCACCAAGGGGGGGGATAACTGCCATCCTTCCCAGAAAAGCAACACATGACGACAAGCTGATAGTGCCAGCAATCGTGTACTTAGAGTAAACGAGTGACTGTCATTGCAGCGTTAGAAAGGGAGATTAAATCTGCGGCTGTCAGAGGGTGTTGGATTTGCTTTCGCACAAGGCCAGCGTCAAGGGGAAACAGTGGAAAGCAGCTGCGTGATCCAACAGGGATTGATTGGGAATGCAACGCAGCGGCTTTATTTATAATGAGCTAGAATGCTGTGGCAGAAGACACGGTACCTCACAGTCACTGTGTGTGTGCCTACAGCAAACCTGAGTCTTCCACCAACAGAGCTGAGCGGTTTTGTCTCCCTTTGTCAAGCAGACCATTAAGTGTGTGAAGCCTCACACGCTCCCCTTCCCCGTGTCTGTACACGCGGGGGAGTTTTAGTTCTTCTTTAAATACAGATCTCTTTGTATTAAGCTATGTTTTTACAAGGTGCTGTAGGGATAGGAATGGCTTTAAACTGACAAGAGGGGAGTTTCAGGTTGGATAACAGGAAGAAGTTCTTCCTTGAAGTATTCAAGGCCAGGTTGGACACAGGGGCTTGGAGCAAGCTGCTCCAGTGGAAGGGGTCCCTGCCTGTGGCAGGGGTTGGAGCTGGAGGAGCCTTAAGGTCCCTTCAACCCAAACCAGGCTGGGATTAAATGGTAGAACTCTATGGTTGTAGTTCTGATGTGTCCCTTCCTGATGGAAGGAGCCCCGGTTCCTGAGCTCTCAGTCAGAAGCAGAGTCCTAGGGCAGTGCCCTGCAGCCACAGTGCAGGTGGATTTCCTTACCTGCCCTCAACCTGCAGGACCATTTGGCAAATCTGTTTGCAAAACATGAACCCAAATGCACAAACCCCGAACGCTGCTGCTGCTTTGTCAGAAGCATTCCTGATGGGTTATGGGTGTCAGCAGGGACCACACGCTTGTGTCAGCAGGATCCAGCCAGCAGCAAAATGGATCTGCAACGTTTATGCATGCAGGGATGGGGGAGCTCTGCATCCCACCGTGATAGGGCTCAGGTCACCCATCTGCCTCTATCACAGGGATGAAAGTGGCCCCATCCTTTAGTCTCAATGATAATATCTGCAGGAACCCCTCAATTACAGAAAATAGATATGCCAAGACTGCCAGCATCCATCAGCCAAGGCTATTGCTTCCCCCCTCTCTGTCTGATGATTCCCTGCCCTTCCTGTCTGTTGTGCAGGGCCTCTGCCCTCTACCTCCCACATCCCAAAGTGGGTGAAAAGCAGGGGAGAAAAGACAAAAGGCGGGTCCAGGTTGGGAAATACTCATCCAGGAACACACGTTGCATGGTATGAATGGGGGCTCTGGAGCCGGTGGCGATTTGAGGCAGGCGAGGGTCCAGGAGCAAGAAACCAAATTGGGGATGTTTTGAAGAGAGGCTGAGTTGCAAATCAGCTCTGAGTGTGTTTGGAATGGTCACATTAGACCTCAGGGGCAGGACAGAGCCAAGGTCAGCACTTGCAGGTTGTTTCTGAGGGTTGGGCAGCATTAGCCATGCAGAAACACCAGCAGTTGCCATCTGTCCCTGCATCATCTTAGCACATCAGGGAATTAATCAGCAGTGCTACGGCTTGCCAAAGTTTTGGACACCAAATAAGATGTGCATCGGGAATGTGAAGGGAGCTGCTGCCCCTCCAGCACTCCCTTGCTGTGCATGGCGTTTCCCTTTTGCACTTCTCAGCAGAGAGGCTTAATCAGTGCTTGAGCTTCCCATTACACGGCTGGACGTGAGCACGATAATTGCAGGTCTTTGGAAATCGCAGCCTCCCTCTGCCTCCTGTCTCAGTGTGGGCTGCTCAGTGGCGCTCGCTGCTTGGTTTCGCAGCTTTGGGAGGACGTTGTGCACAGATTCCTACAGCAAAGCCTCGGGTGAACACAGGGGAAGTTTTGATTTACTGAAACTCATCGAGTGTGAACGGTGAAGGTTTATAAATGCATAAAGCTCAATACAGAACCCGTGGAAGGCAATAAGGGGGTTTCTCAGGCATTCGGTGGGCAGGGTGCGAAGCCCATCAGTAGAAAGCTGTAAAAATCACTCAGGTGCTAAACCTGGAAATTGCTTCTGCAATTAAATGTGAAGTTGCCAGAGGAAAGGTACCTGGAGGATGGGAAACCCAAGTTACCCGTGACTAGGACTGAGGCGGTCTGCGAACACGCTGTTCTCCCTCCCGGTCCTGCCCCTCGCCTCTGTCCCATCGCCAGGCTCTCCCCTCCTGCCCCTCTGCCATAACCTGGGCCAGCCACGTGCACGTTCTCCAGGGTCAAAGCACCACCATCACCATGGGTAGCAACGCGTGTGTGGAAGTGGAGACGCAGTGGCAGGGCTTCAAGCAGAGCCGCTGGCAACAGGAGTTCTCCCCCTCCTTCAAAGGGATCCCCATCCCCTCCTGGGGCTCTCCACCTCCGTGCAACGCAGAGCAACCTCCTGGTGATGCTGGGGTGGCTCTTCCATAAAGGCAGAGATGGGGAGGGGGCCGCTGGGGTTGGATGGGGGCTGTTCCATGCAGTCATGGTCAAACCACCTCCCGCCACCACGCGAATGACGGTGGTGATGGATGTGACATGCCTCGGAAGCGCTGAAGCCCGTCTCACCTGAGCTGGTGGTAAAGGTTATGTACGAGTGCTCGCTGGGGCTAGACCATATGGGGAACACCCACAGCTTGTACATCATTCCCGGCGTCAGATTCGCCAGCTGCACAGAGGAAGGGGTCTGAGCTTTAACAGGGATAGATTTCTCTGTGTTGTTACCTGAGAAACAGAAACCGCACATCAAACCCAGCCGCAGGAGGCGCGGAGAGATCCCCGTGTTGACACTGCAGGCAATGCATTACCCTGTCCCTGGCCACTGAGCAGCAATAACCCAGCTGGGTGGGCAAGGAGCTGTTAACGGCTTTGTGATCGTTACTCACTGAGAAGAGAAGGAGCTCAGTGAGGCAGGAATACGGAGTGGGTTTTGCTGCATCCCTGCTTGCCGTACTAGGAAGGCAGACCGGCAGCTACCCAGGTCTCTCCCTACTTTTAAGCCCTGATGGAGCCTTTATCTGCCCAGCCTCAGGTCTGAATAGTTGGGAATTTATCTCAAAATATGGCCTTTGCCTGCTCAGCTGGATGGAGATGCTGCAGGACTCAGTAAAGGAGCCAGTTCTTGTGCTTTTGGGAGTGGGACCTGGGCACTGGTTTTGCTGGGACCTTAAGGAGGCTTTGAATGTGCTAGAGATTGGGCTAGCCATGCTGTGGGACTGCTCACCCCTGCTAGCAGGCTGTTACTTTTGGGGGCGAGAGGAGCTGAGCCCTTCAGCTCATGGGGTGGTTGCTCCCAGGCTCTATCCGGGGATGAGCTGCTCTTTGTACTGTGTCAGGAATCATTTGCTGATGAGTTTAATGCTGAGCATTAATCCAGTGAATTGTAAGTGAGCTGGAAGTGGGGTTTTGGTCTGTGGCTCTGGAGGTGCGCACCTCCCGTGCTGTGGGCAAGGAGAAGGGAGGCTTTGGAGCAGAAAAAGTGCTGCCTGCTTCAAGTGACACTAGAAAGGGGTGGAATGTCCTGGATTTCCTCCCTGTCATCCAGATCCTGATAAGGGTATCCTAATCCACTGCTGCTGTAGCCGATCCTGATCCCAGACCCAGCTCTGGGAAGGCATTGCCCCTGTTTTGTGCTTCCCAGTGATGGGGAAGACCGAGCGCTGGCAGTGGGTGCTTTGGGAGCTTGGATACTTGGCATTTAGGGCTTGGGAAGCTGATGTGGATCCTGAATTTGGGAAGGCTGAGCATTACCCAGCCTGTGCTGCTACCAAAGCCCTGCAGGCTGCAGAGCAAGGCCAGGCACTGGCTATGTGCTAGGAACTCTTTCAAGGAGAAATCAAGGTCATCTTTAAGTGATCTTGTAAATGGCCAGAAGTGGTTTGCTCTCAATGATTGCACCTACTTGGTTCATAAATGCTGATTTAAGACTGGTCTACTAAATAATGTGAGGGCTGAAATGGCTGGGAAATAAAGTCAGAGATAAGCAGTAGTCGTAACTGCCTATCTATAAAAACAACCCCCAACAACCAACCAACAACATGTAAACATCTTTCTAAGCAAGTACTAAAAGCAGAGATACCAGCTTTGAGTTTCCACACTAAGGATGTAGCCTTACAATGTTAAGAGACAATGATATCCGATACGACGGGAGGTTTGGGATCAGAGAGGATTCTGCCAACTCCAGGTTCAAGAAGCCCATTTTCAAAGCCATTGCAAACTGCTCTCCAATTTAGATAATCTCACTTGTTTAAAGGTTTGTCTTCTTTCATACTTATATATATTTATGTTTTCAGGCTCTTTAAGGTGGGACCACATACGGCCCTATCTTGCGGCAGTCAGTGCAAGGAGGGGGAATAGCTCTGGTGCCCTCTCAACAGCCAAAACCATGACCTGCCTTTCCCTTTCCATCCTCTGCATGGGCACAGAGCATCATTCCACACCCTCAACCACGGGAGCTGGCAGGATCTCTACTGGCGTCGCCACCCTGTAGAGTCCCCACGCGATCTGATGCTTACTGGTGATATACTTAACCACAAAGTCAGTTCCTGCAGAGTAATTGTGGCTCCAGGTGATGTTTGCCCAGTTACTATTAGCCATAGCTCTTATGTCCCATATGGACGATCCATTGGTGGCTGGTGGACAGGTTAGAAGAGGAGTTAGTATTTTGGATTATACATGAATGAGACCCTTACAGAACCATGCCTGATGTTAATGCTTTGGTCTTAACCTACAAGTTAAGTGCCTAAGGGTATAATTGTTCTTTCCAAGATCCCTCACTTCAAACCTTTGGGGGAGGTTCTGTAGCAGAAGCTCACTGTGTGTTGGTGTTTAATTCCAGCTGCCCTCAGCTCATCGTTGGAGTCTGGAGGCTTCTGTGGCACATCCCTGAGGATTTCGGTCTGCAGGGAAATCTCTTGACTAAACTCATGTCCAAACGGACACGTGCATGAGTGCACACGGACTCCCTGCCACGACGGAGGAGGGAAGACTGGGAGAGAACATTGTCGTGTTACTGGGTCTAGAGACAGCCAGTGGGGCAATGAAGTCACTCGTTTCTGATTTTGAAGTTAAGGATTGTCGACGTTGCTTTGGAGAGCGGATGAACTTCGTTTCTAGTCACTAGAGCTAATGCGCCGGTTTAGTGTGTGTGTGAGTGGCATCAGGTAAGTCACACCTTGCTTTTATTGCTGGTCTTATTTACTTCAGGGTGCACCTGAGGTTTTGGGTTGACAAAACATGGGTCAGTAACTGCAGTCCCCGGTGCTGTGGCTTTTAGGGCATCCTAGCTTGGGAACTTGACCTAGAATCCCTCTTGCAAGCACAACCTGTGCTGCCACACGCTTGCCCTGTCTGCCCGCATTACAGCTCAGCCTCTTCCCCTGTGTCCCCAGGGTGGTTGGGGACACGGGTGGCTCCTCTTGCAGTTCATCTTGTGCTCTCCCTGCTCTGCAGCAGCGTGCACCTCACCACTGGCTTGCCCGTTTCCAGTGAGCAATGCTTCCCCACGTACTCACTGCATAGCGACTATGTTGTGGGAGCAGTCACCAGGACCTCCTCTCTAGGCTGAAGCTCCTCTGTCTGTCTGCCACCACTTTTTAAGGTGGTTTGGTTGTGGTTCGGCGCCCAGGGAATGGTTTCACTGGCTGGGGAGGTGCCAAATTCACGTTTCTTGGGCTGGGGCTGCACCGGAATGAGCCCAGAGCAGGCAATGTGCCTCTGATGGAGGCAGGACCTCTCAGCACATGGTTTTGGTGGGGTTTTAACCGTCCTGAGCTAATCTTATGCAAGAATGTAAAGAAAGGGGGCTGAACTGCTTGAATAATCCAATTCCTGAGTTAAATGGGTGCCAACTTTGATGCTCATTATTGCTGCTCTCTCTTTTGCACCTGAGTGTATCCTGTCCAGCCATGCAGCTGTATTCTTTCGACTTCATTCCCCTTTTCCTGCTAGCTTGAGTTATTTCTGAGTATAACTGCCCATAATTACTTAGCAAGTGTAGATTGCATTATAGCCATGTTTTCAAACCAAGGCTCAGTGAGATACAGCTCTCTGCATCTATCAGTAAAACACAGAGCATGCGGGATATGCTTTCACCAAAGCAGAGTTTGAGCACCCCATCCCTAGCTGATTGCACGAGGAGTTTCTCTTGACCTGGCGCACACCTGCGTGCAGGAACTTAAGACTTCCCCAGCTCTCCCGTGGGCTATGGTTAGGTTCCATCACAAAGAGCAGGAGCATAAACCAAAAGACTCATATAAGTGATGACAGGTCTCTTAGCTAACAGTTGGTGGGCTAAATTTGAAGTGACATCTTCTATAATAGTAACAGAACCCCCTTTTAATGGCAGAAAGACATGAGATAATACTTTAGAGAAATTTTGTAGGGTCTTACACCTCCTTCCCAAGCACTGATGCTCATTCAGCACCACGGCACCCCAGGGAGAGCTGTGTTAACCCCGAGACTAGACCAGGAGGGTGGCACAGAGACCCCCAGATTGCCAGGAGCCACTTGTGCACCTGAATTCCCAAGCCTGTGCCAGCTCCATCTCCACACCGAGCCATTCCCGGAGTGTGGAATGCCTTAACTTTCCCCTGTGCCCATTATTAACCCTGGCCCTGGGCAGGATGCAGGGAAGGTCCCAGTAGGGTTAGAGGGGTTAGAGGAAAAGGAAAGCGCAGTACCCAACTCCTGCTTTGTGGTGGCTGCCGGAGCCCTCTCTGTAGGTGCTGTAGTGCTTGCGGCGATGGTGGCGGCTGTAGTGGTGGTGGTGGTGGTGGTAGTTGTGTCGGTGGTGGTGGTGGTAGTTGTGTCGGTAGTGGTGGTAGTAGTGTCGGTAGTAGTGGTAGTAGTTGGGGTGGTTGTAGTACTGGTTAGACCGACTGTAGTTGGAGGCACCCCAGTTGCAGCTGGGAGAGGGAAACACTGGCTTTTTAGAGAGGTGATGGCACCTCAGGGCTTGCACTCGCCATCCCCAAGGCTGGACATGCAGCACGCGAGGGGAGCAGAGCAGCACAGGGCAGGGACAGGGGTGGGAGGCAGCAACAGCACCGGGAAACACGAGGCTGACCCCCTTGTCCCATCCCCAACCCCATGCGGAGCCGGCCACAGGCAGGGAATGATGCTGGGGCAAAGAGGGGCTGCCCCTGTGCACCCTCTGCTTGACCCCTTTCCCAGGGCTGAAGGACCTGCTTCTCTTCTGCCTTTGCTCTGCTGCCAGTGCTCCCCAATACCCTGGTCTTAAATAGAGTGGAGGGACGGAAGGAGGGGTGTGAAGGATGTCTGGGGCAGGCACAGCACAGGCTGTCCTTGCTCCATCATCCCCCAGCACAGAGCTGCTGCTGAGAGCACCCTGAGCTCCCTGCAATAAGAAATAGGATTTATCTCTTAAGAAAACATAATAATCCCTTTTGTTGTGGGCCAGGCCCGTCACAATCCCATTAATTCAACAGCCTCTGGACTACACCTCCAGCCTCTTTCTGAGCTGCCAGTTCAGCCTGCAGCTTGTCAGCCATTCCCTTCCTGGCTCCTCTCATCCTGCAGTCTGTGATGGAGCAGTTGGAGCATTGAGGTGGATTTTTGCTCCTTGGTGAGTGATGGATGGTGCTTTGCCATCCCCACCCCTCACGATTTCCATTTGAATTAGGATAAAGGGATTGATGCACCCCAAACTGTCCAAGGGGAAAGTCTGAGCAACTTGTTTTCTAAGCAGCCCCCATCCACATCTCACCTGTGCTGAGCAAAGGGCTCAGTGTGCACTTTGTGGGGTCGAGGGGGTCCTGACCACCACCAAAGCGAACTGCAATGGCTTGGGTCTGAAAATGCAGCTGAGATGCTGCTCAAACTACCTGCAGCAAATGAGCAGAGATTCACCCTGCGGTGCTTGCATTCAGTCATAGTTACTTTGAGTGTAGATGGAAGGATTACAAATCCCCGTCAGGCAAATGAACCCAGCTATTGGGAATATCACCCACGAGCACAAACAGCCCCAGGAAAGCACTTTTAAAGGTCTCCAAGAACTAAACCAGGGCTTTCTTTCTCGCCACTGAGAGCCAAGCGCTGAGCCCTCAGCTCCCGCAGAGATCCAGCAGCAGCAGAGCAGAGCAGTAGGTCACTCAGCCCATCTCCACGGGTACCAGCACGTCCCAATCCCACCAGCCCACCCCAAGGAGCGCCCAACGCAGCATCCAGCCAGCCTCATGCAGCAGTGCAGCCACCCGGAGAGAGCACCCGCCTTGCACGGCCAGGCAAGGGGCTGGGGACAGGGAGGGGACCTGTTCCCATGGGAATTGGCACGGCTTTGTCCTCAGGGGTTTGCACCTTTCCAGCTCATCACTGGATGAGCTTTGAGGACCCTTCCAACACAAACCAGTTTGGGATTCTCTGGTCTCCATCACCTGGCTCCTGATGAAGGGCTTTGCTGTGCCCTGGGTTTATAAGTTACAAAAGCCTTTCTTGGGTTGAGAATATTGCTATCCATCTTTGCTGATCCACAGAGGTTAAGAGATTAGTGTCACCAGGTTAATGCCACCATTACCCTGATTAAGCTGCAGCTCCTCAATAGGTTTGCAATGGACACAAACAGCGTCGTGGACACTGGTTATTACCTATTGCAGTCTCAGCATTTCCCTAGTGAATCCCTGGCTCCCCTTTAAGGAAAACAAGACTGAAGAAGGCACAAAGTAACTTGCTGAAAGGCAGGAGCTGGTGGGGAACCTTGTACACCCCCCCCTCCAGCTCCCAGGCCTGTCTCTGCATCGTTCATCTCCCGCACCACCTAACACTGTTGTAATGGCTTTAGCAGAAGGAGAGCTTCAGCTTTAATGCTCCTCTAGCCCTTAGATGGGAAGAGATTATCTGGGATAAGGCAAAGCTTTGCTGTCTCTCGTGTAGGCACCATCTTTATGTAGTACATGCAGATACACACACAGGTGAATCTGCAGTGCCAAGACCCTCCTGGATGCTGCATTGACCCATTCAGCATCAGGCTGTGCTGTGCTGCTCAGCTCTGCCTGGCAGGATTTGCCCAAACCACCCAGCACTAACGAAAGCAATCCCAGAGAGCAGGGATATCACCATGTAACAGGAATAATGATGCCAGCTCACTCCTGAGCAGGTCCCTGGGTGAGATCGAGGAGGGGGTGATGGCACTGGGGGTAGGAATGGTCCCAGAAGGACAAGGAGCAAGGAAAAAGTGGGATGGGGGAGTCTGAGAAACAATAGTTCAGAGAGGGGAGGATGCTGCAGGATGGAGCAAGGTGACTTTACAGCTGGGCAGGGCTCCCGCAGCCATGGGGGGGATTTAGTCTTAAGCTGCCCCGGGATTCAAAGCTGCAGCCTCATTTGTGTTTCAATGTGAAATGTATGCGGGGGAGAAGCTCAGCTGGGAGATTTGGGGGAGAGAAGATAAGGGGCATTTTCCAGGCTTTGAAATCGAGCCCCTAATGAGAGCTGGTTCCAGCCTGGGAGGAGATGAAGGCGGCCTTTGACAGAGATCAGAGCGCCCCAAAGAAAAGGGCCCCCTGCCATGGGGAGCCTCAGCCCTTCCCTGGGGCGCTGGGGTCCCCCCTCGCTGCCCACCCTGGCAGGGCTCGTTACAGAGGCACGGATCCCTGCTCCCAGCAGCACGGGGGCACAGGGATGGGCGCTGCCAGCACTGCAGTGGAACCCAGCCCGCACACATCCTCCTGCACCAGTGGCTGCAGTTCTTCCCCAGGGCTGGCATCTCTGAGTCCTGCAGGGCACCGTCCCTAGCATGGGGAGAGCTCTGACAGCGTCTGCCTCAAGTGTAAATACAGGACTGAGCCTGCCAGTGCCTAAAGGGGCTGCAGGGAACCGGGAGAGAGGCTTGGGACAAGGGCCTGTAGGGACAGGCCAAGGGGAATGGCTTGAACCTGCCCGAGGGGAGACTGAGCTGAGCTCTGGGGCAGAAGCTCTTCCCTCTGGAATTCTACTGTTTGTGTGATGGGGGGAACAGTCTCCCCTCTCTGAAAGCAGGAGGCGACGCAGAGGAAGGACTCTGCCCCTTTCCCAAATGCTGGATGTTTCCAGCTTGAAATCACCCCACTACACCCAGCATCCCCAGAGCAAAAGCCAGCACCAGCAGTTTCCCTTCTCTTCCTCCCACCGTAGCCTTGCCCATCTTCCTGGAACCATCTCAAGGAGCATCCAGCTCATTTGGAGGCCCCATCTTTGCTAAGATGCTTTTTCTGTCTGCAGGATGCATTATTACTCTCTCAGGTAGTGGAGACCGCAGCGCAGAGGAGATGGGTGGCTATAATGGACCAGGGAGGCAGCGCTCTGCCTGCCGCACTTAATAGGCTAAGTAAGGAGGGAGATGCTTGCAGCAGGAGGGCTGAGCTCCTTGCCGCAGCCTGGCTCCTCTGGCCAGGGAAAAGGAGCCCAAAAAGCTGTGTGGGATAAAACCTGAGTGGAAGACCCCTAAAAGCAAAAAGGGGGGGCTTGAAAGTGGGGCTCGAGTCCTGCTCCGGCATTGTAGGGAGCGGCTGCATGGGGCTTGGTGCAAAATACAGGGAGCACCACACAGCCATACGTCTCTTTAATTATTTAAAGATGCTTTTAATGTGTTGTTGGGCTCTAGGAAGAGCCTTCCCTTGGGGGTGCCTACAAAATAATTAGGCTTGGAGAAATGGGATGAATTTTTCATGGGTTTTGATCAGCAGCCAAAGACATTTGCAGAGATTTCCCTGTTGTTTCTCCTCGCCCTCTCCCAGCTTTTAACAGAAGGAAATTGTGAAGTCTTTACCCCAAAGTGTCCCAAATCTGATGATAGCTCGAAGAAAGTCAAGAATAGAAAGGAGCAATTGAGCAGCCTCTGAAAGAGAGGGGTCAGCGGTTCTCGCTGTTCCGCTGCTGTTTCTAAAATGAACAATAGGATCTTTCTCCTCCGGTTCCTAATTATGGAGGGACAAGAAGGGAACAGAGAAAAGTCCATTTTTTTTTCCTTGAAGTCTAAGACCAACGATCGTTACAGTCTCTGATGAAGTTTTTCCATACACATGGGTAATCTAGGATCCAGTTTTGATTTTTTTCTCACCCTAAATACCCTAAATGAGAGCCCTTTTCAGATGTCCTCCCTTTTCCTTTATCACCGCTCCCTTTGCCCAGGTCTGGCTTCAGGAAAGATAAAGCCTTTCCTACGGGAAAGTCCTTGCACTTTGATTTCACGAGGCTGGAGCAGTTTCTCATACACACCCAAAGCCACTCTGACCCTGTCTATGTGAGGTTACTCCTGAGAAAAGGCCTTGTTCTCACTCTTAGTGCCAGCAGCCCATGGCAAAGAGCATTTGCCTGCAGTTGAAGACAACTTTCACTGTGAATCCGTGAAGATCCACAGAAATCTAGGTCACTGAGCAGGGAGGGATGCTCCGAGGAAGGTCAGGCAGTGTTTCACTTGAGCCCTGTCCTTGTGGGAGGAGAAACAGCCTCTTGGGACGAACAGATCTCACAAGTAAGGAGACGAGACCCTGCTCAAGAGCGGGACAAAGACGTGTGCTGGGTCTCACCATGGCTCACGCTGCCTTGACTCCTCTTGCTGGAGCCCAGCACGGTGAGGAGCTGTGAACAAGGCTGAGTTAGCACTCAGTGACCTACTACTCCAGGCAGGACTTCTTCCAGCTCTGGCCTATCTTTGCTCCTTATTATTTCTCCTATCAGAAGGTCAAATACAAGGGGAGCAGCGAGCTTTGTCATTGAATTACCCTTTAAATGGCAAATAATTCACCTAGCTTCCAGTGGTGGGAGAAATTGAAATGAGATGAGGCTGGAAGGATGAAGAGCTCACATTGCATTTTCCAGCTTCAGCGATAGAAGGGTACTTTAGAAGGTGATCCTGATCCACAAAGAAAAGCTGGATTCCTGCGGACAAGCTAAACTGTGCCTGAAGTAGGAGCTGTAGCAGCAAAAGAGCCATCCTAGGGTCCTAGGACAGAGATCCTCTAAGCTAAGAGGTGATGTCCGTGCACAGTTTCCCACCACCCAAAGCAGACCAATCTGTTACCCCCTTTATTTCTTTTTAGGAAGAGGAAAAATACAGCAAGAAGAAGTTGGCATCTATTCAGAAAGGAAAAGGAAATGCAAAATAATAGTGGGTAGGGAGACATCACTGCAACAAAAGAAACGGAGGAGAAACATCTATGAGGTAGGAAAGCAAAACCTACGGGTGCAGAGAGCAGGTCCTGCACTTGCATCACTTGGGGAGAGCCGTCCCTAAGAAGCTGTTCCTCTGTGGGAAGCCCCAGGGCTGTGTCCAGCCAAGGCAAAGCAGGACCTCTTACAGAGCCCTTGGTGCGGGGCCAGCGAGTGCTGATGCTCCAGACCAAAAGCTTTTAGGGCACAGGGCTCAAAGGGTCCCTGGTCCTGAAACCCTGGCTCAAAGGTGGTGTTGGACGGGGGGGGGAAGTCCCATCTGCAGCTTTTGTACGAGGCGGGCGCCCTGTGGGCAACCAGCAGTTGTGCTTTGGGTCTTGCAGGGTTGACACTGGGTGAAAGTGGGGGTTTGGGTTCCTTGGAAGCAGTGGAGATGCTGCCCCTCTTACAAGAAAAGGGTTCTCGGGTTCTCTCTGCTGTAGGAACACGCAGTCGAGGGCAAAGCCAGCAATAGCCTCGCATGCAGACATGCACAGCTGCGGCACAAACATTGTCCTTAACCCTTTCAATGGGCACCTGGGAATAAAAGGGTTCTCCTGTACAAAAAGCCCTAAAGGAGCCCTGGGGAGATGAGTGGCTCGTGGTGCCCGCACGCTGCGACACAGACCTATGCAGCCAGGGGAGGCAGCAGCTCCAGCAGCACCCCTGAGCTGCTTTCCAGCTTCAATCCTGCAGGACAGAGCCCGGGTGCAGGATGGGCACCACCGAGCCAGGGCTGGCTGGGAAAGAGGGTTTGGATGTTGAGGCTTCAAAAGGGAGAGGGCTTTGTGCAGACCTGGGATGAAAAACCTCTTTAATAGGGCATCGACTCTCGGTTTTGCTCATCATCGGTGGCAGCTGCAGTGGTCGGGGGCTGTGGCTGTCATTAGGCAGCTGGGAGGCTGTTAAGCCCCATTCAGAGATATTTTGATCTCTGCAGACCCCCCTGCAGAGCCTGCCCTTGTCCCTTTCTGCCTTCGGGGCTTTGCTTTTACCTGCTGTCGTCTCATATTTAGCCCAATTTAGCCTCCTGCCACTTCATCTCCCCATTGAAAGGGTTAATGGAGTGCATGCTTCACTGCCAGCACCCCGAGCAAGCCTTGCCCCATGCCTGTTACCTCCTCCGCTGGTACGGTACCTGGGGTTGGCGTGGCTTCAGAGGGCAGCGCCAAGATAGAGAGGGGAATGCGAAGAGAGCAGCACAGAAGAGAAGGGAAGAGAAAACAGAGGAACATATAAAAACAACCAGAACACACCAACAAGAGACAGGGACCACTTGCACACAGGCACCAGGCTTGAGAGAGAAGGGATAATGCATTAGGTACAACCCTCCGTGTGCATCAGAGCTGTTGGCAGAGGGCAGAGAGCAGGGATGTCCCCTCGGCGATGGGGATCACCTCTTAAGACACACACCAGCTCCACTAATCCGCCAAGGGCCATTTGTGACCCCAGTGCTTTGCTGGTGTGTTTCTAACATCAGTGCTCATCCTGCCCTGGGTGGGTTGGAGCCCGTGATGCACAACATCAGAGCATTGCATTTAAACTCAGGTGAATGAGTCTGGCAAGCAGAAAACCACCTCTGAAGGCATTAATGGGTTCGATTGTCTTAATCTGCTGCTTTTTTTACATTCCAAGCTTGTCTTTTGCGTAGCTTTCCAGCAGGTAGCTTCATATCCAAGTGGGAATTTGGAGCTGCTAAGGGTACTTACGTGCCTGGTGGGGACCCTTACCTTACCTGCCATTTCCTGATACCAATCAGTGCAGCAAGGCTGGTTATGGTGTTATTTATCTGTGCTGTTCTCAGCATATGGAAACAAACCCAGTAAAGCAAATGGATCTGAAACAACTCCAACTTTCCACTACCAGCACCACCAGCTCCTATCTTCATTCTGTTCTCTATGCTTTAAAAGCAATGTCGTGCCCTCTCTCATGTTTGCCAGGGTGTAACTTAGCTGATTTCTCTCCCATAGCATAAGCAGCCCCATCTCCCGTCCTGTCACTGCAATGAGCGATGCTGGAGCCCACCTAAAAGGTGTCAGGAAGCATTTTATTTCCACTGGGTCATCAGGAGGAATGACTTTTCCTACTCAGAGCCATTAGCTGGGGAGGGGGAGATGGAAGAGAGACAGAAACCCCATTACATCGGGGCACTAACCAAATCATGGGTCTCTTAGCAAATGCTAAGGGAAGGAAAGAGAAAGCTTTTGTCTCCCGCTGCTCCCTCAGGGCTCCTGAACTTTCACTTACTTTGATGAATGTCCCACAATGGGCATTTGATCTGATTACCAACCTGGGAGCTGGGGCTTTGCTTTGGAGGGTCAGGGCAGCTGCTGGTTATGGGGTGGCAGGAAGGTGGCCCTGGAGCCCCTGCCCTGGGGGATGCAACTGCTGCATCCCCTCCGAGCCACATCAGAATCACTCACATCTGCCCCTTATTTAGCTCATGCAGAGGCTGTAAACTGGAGCTTCACTTTAGCATGGGCAGAGCAGGATGCCCTCCTGTTCCTGGGCACGTAAGGAGGACCGACTGCTTAGGGGGGCATCAAGGTAGTTCCCTGGAGCACAGGACAGTATCCCCAGTCCCCTCAATAGCGTTACTGCTGCAGTGTTTGATCCTGTCTGCCTGTCTATCTTTCCATCATCCATCCATGCATCCATCATTTCCCTATCTGTCTCTGCAGTAGAATGTAGCTGAGCACCAGTTGCTCTCTTGTACTGGTCGCTCTGTGACCGCCCATCCTCTGCCCTGCAGTTTCTGGCTCACAGAGGTGCCATTGCCCCCTCCCTCCTCGGCAGAGCCAGGAGCTGGTGCTGCTGCACCTACCTTCATTCAGCAGGGCTGGGGACTCCTCCACCAGGGTTTCTCCTTCTCCCACCTGGGTCCGTGCGCGCAGGAAGAAGCGATAGCGCGAGATGGGGTCTGTCCTCTGCAGGGTGAACTTTGTCTGGTTGGGAGAGAGGTTCTCTACCAGGGTTCGGCCTGTTTTGGATCCGTTAACTGGGGAGGAAAGGCAGGCGGTGGCGGCTTCAGCCTCGGGGCACAGCACCCTGCGTGAGCTCCCTCATCACCTCACCCCAGGGCCAGCCTGTGGCCAGTGCTCAGAGCCGCGGCTGCTGTTCAGTGCACTTCACTTGGTGGCTTTGGGGCTGGGGACCTGCTAGAGGGGATGCTCAGGGCTGTAGAGGCACAGCACAAGTACCAGGGTCTTGGAGAAGGCCGGACCCCCCCGGGCATTGTGGGCTCTGCGCTCCCAGCACATTCCTTACACAGCCAGGACCTTGTGAGCACAAGAACTGCTCAGAATGAGGTCTTTAAGTCAGAGATCAGGCTTATCTCCCTTCACTGATGAGTGCGAGCTGCAGAGCACCCCCCACCCTCCCTGGTGCTGCAGCTGCCCAGCACTGCTCCAGGGTCCCCTCTGCACCACCGTGGCCTCCCCTTGTGGTCAGAGCCCCCAGTTCCTTATGGAGACCTTTCTGTGCTAGGGGAGGGGGTGAGCAGCAGCAGGGAGCACGCTCAATGGCCCAATGATTATCACTAAGAAGATAACACATGGAACGTACAGGCTTGGTATCTGAGGCTGTATCCTGTGAGGACTCCGTTGGGATGCTCTGGGTGATCCCACTCCAGATTGATGCTTTCCAGGTTTGGCTGTCGGATTCTTAAATACCTGGGGGAGCTGGGCACTTGGGAGGAGGATGGGAGCAGGAAGGAGAGGGAAAGAAGACACACAAGAGAACATACCTTACAATACTGTACACAGTGCAGGCTGAGTGCTGCACTTGACGCCCACAAATACACACACAGATCACATACTAAAGGTCAGAGAGCGACGGAACAAGAATCCGTGCCAGAAACCATGCACCAGGCCGGGGTTTTCAGCAGCACATGTGCAGGGAGCAGGAAGCAGAGCAGCTCTGCATGCAACCCAGCAGCACCGTGCCCGCACAGCACCCGCGAAGGATGCTGCAGTGTGAAGCAGAGCTACGACACAGTTCAGGGCCCAGTTCTCTATGTCATACACACACTTCACTGGTCTTATTTACAGCCCCCACCCAGCCCAGCATCTACAGCTCAGCTATTTATCTGTTGGAACAGTACAAGAGTAGAGCAGCTTCTCTTATGGCAAAGCATCACTGTGTTATTGACACCTGGAGATCCAGAACAGGGGGCTGGTGCTGTGTGCACACAGTGGTCCTTACCCTGAGGACTGGCTGCTGTTGTGACTGCTTATTCAGAGCTAGTAAAGGAAGGAAAGCATTATACATTCTTGAATGCAGTTATTCTCCTGGTCTACTCATTATTGTGGTGTCTTAACTGGGGAAAGCTCTCGGTGCTCTGATCTGAGACATCAGTGATTTCTGTTTCTTTAACCAGTTTTTCAGAGTATCATTCAGTTTCCTAAACATCAATGTATGTTATGTAGATAGAATGGGTTGGCAATAAAATAGCTTATGGTATTGGAAAAAATATATCAAGAGTTTCCTTATTGCAAGAGTCCGATCCACTATAATCATTTCAATCAGTGCCACCCATGTATGCATGCAGCTACCCCGAACCCATACAGGTACCTCAAAGTCTGTGTGCCTCTAGCACCCAGGTAAAGCAGCTCCATCCAATGCCCTATTGAAACAGTCCCTTCTCTTGGAACAAGCTTAATTGTGGCTGATCGAGTGAAAACCCTTAGAAAATGGTAGAACAGGAGCAAGAGTTCCTTGTGCAGCAGGAACGGGATGAAGGCAGCGAGAAAGACCACCACGGTATTCTGTGTTACTTGAGACAGGATTTGCTTCCAGCCTCTACTCGTTTCTCCTCTTGCAGTTTGTGCTGTTCTGTGCCCAAGCCATCTGTGCTCTAGGCAGATCCCTCCCCAGCCTCGGAACGTGCAGCTCCAACAGGAAGGTATCAGTGTGCCTATAAATAGCTCTTGTGACAGCAAGGAAATGAAAAGCTCAAGTTCATCCTTGACACAAGCTCTTTAACCAGAAGAATGAGGTGCTCTTGCCTGAACAGCCTGACAGGGTATCAGTGATGGGCTTTCGGGAGAGAAGCACTCAGGTCTTGGGCAGATCTGACTGCCGTTTACTGAGCACAATGAATGCGTTCCCTCCTCTTCACCGACCCGCAGCACAGGGAGGTGTGGGGACACGTGCAGGTCAGGCAGCAAATCAAGGGCACGGTGCTGTGCTGTGATGCTGAAACATCTCTCTTGCTCCACCTAAGAGCTACTCGCTGATGTGTTCGAAGCACCCAGAGGGCACTTTTGGGTGGCTGAGGGTGCCAGCCGTTGGCTCTCGGTGCGGAGATGTCACCTCTCCCGTGGTGACAAAGGCAGAGCCGTGTGACAATGATGCTGCTCACAAGATGCTCGCCTAAATCTCATCCCTGGCACTTCTCTGCAGCAGCATCACCTCTCCATGGAGCTGAACCACCCAAACCTCTCCCTACATCACCCCCCCAGAGGAACCTACCTCCTTCTGGTGTGGGGAACTCCTTAACTTCACTGCGTGGCCCATCTCCTCTCCCGTTGGTTACAACCATCTCAAGCTTGTAGTTGCTGTAAGGAAACAGCCGGGACACTATGCCCCGGTTTCGGTCTCCAGGAAAACTCACATACTGCCGTTTTTTGGAGACCCACAGGTTCTTCAGCAAACTACTGTCTCTCCAGAAATAGGCCTTCAAGAAACATGCATGGCAAGTGAAGCTTTTCCTGGGTCAGTGCAATTGGGTTGTTTTTCTTTCATTAACAAAAGCAGAGCAAAACTTTGCCTCTCCAAAGAGCATCTCGTGGCTGCAAGAAGCCTTTCAGAGGAGTTAATGAAGCTCCACGTCCCCCCAGGCAAGGCAGGTCAGTGGTGTTACCCGAGGAAGAGGCTGAGCACAGGGTTAGGAGCTTACCAAAGGTCACACAACACTCAGTTCAGGCTACAAAGAGCTGTTTCCTGCTTCCCAAGCTCTAAGGATCAAGTGATTCTCCCTTTCTACCCGGAGTAGCAGCATAGTGATGGACAAGGAGAGGTGGGTCACGTCCAGGCACAAAGGAGAGCCTGCATTTGGAAGTCTCCCATTTGAAGCCCTGGCTGTAAATCTTATTTCATGCAGAAATAAGGTTCATTCAGAAAACAGACCAGAATGACAGAGCAGAGGCAGGAAAAAGGAAAGCAGTACCCAGGGAGCTTGCTTTATGCCCAGCACATCGTTGGATTTGAAATGCTCTGTTTGCAGGGCACGTGCTTTTGGTAATGGCTTAATCTGTGATACAAGAGGCTCTGTCCAGACTTTTGCTTGTTTTGAATGGGGCCTGTCCTCTGGAAATGGACACTAAGGTTTTTAGCAACAAATATTCACCATTAAAAGAAACCACACCACAACAGGATCCAAGCTGTCTTTAGTTGCCAGTTAGTACGACCGCTGGGTTTAGGCTTTGCAGGGGTTGGTGTTCACGAGAGACGATGTAGGAACTTTGGGGATGACAAAAACTTAACCTGTTGGTACCCATCGGAGGTGGCTCTTCCCACAGCCACCCCATGGGCAGCCCTTCCTGCATGGGTGCAGCACCCCACGTCCCTCTCCGGGCAAACAAAGGCAGCCCCGCTTGCTTTTAGCACCTCAGATCCTGCAGCCCCAAGCCTGTCCAGGCACCGAATCAAAGCCCTTCATTGCTGGTGCTGCTCTGGAGCAGAGCTGGGTCTGCCCCCAGCCGTCCAAGAGGGCTTTGGTGGCTGGAGGAGCGGTTTCTGTCATCCCCGTTGCAGGAGGTTAGCTGTATTAATGGTGAGCACGGAGAGGTTTGGGGTTGCTCACTCTGTACTCCTTGAGCTGTCCCTGGATGGTGTCCAGGTGCACGCGGGTCCAGGTCAGAGCAATGGCAGTGCTGTTTAAAACTCTTATCCTAACATCCGTAGGCGCAGCCTTGGGATCTGAGCGGTCGGGATAAAGCAGAGTGTACGTGAGGTACCTGCAGTACCTGAACACCAGACAGACAGATGCCCCTCTGCCCCCCATCATCTTCCCATTGTCAGGCTCTGCCATCCCTGCTTTCATGGGGATGTTCGTCTCCTTTTCTCCCTCCTTAAAGTCAGTTTCTGAGGGTTTCCAGCCTTGGCAGAACAGCAGTGACAGGCCCTGGCTGCCCTCACTTGGGGTGAGCAGAGCCTATGACCATGCAGATACACAGAATAGCATCACCTCCCTGCCCAGCACTCCTTCTCACTGACACGTACATGCTTTAAAAGCTGACTGTTGGGTTTTTAGCATGGGAAAGGGAGAACTGGAACTGGATGAGCTTTAAGGTCCCTTCCAGCCTAAATGAGTCAGGGATTCTGTGGTTACCTGGCTTATCTACCTTACTTCTTGATACTCCTGAAGTCCCACAGCCAGGGACCCCCCACTGATGCTGCAATGCAAGGAATTGATATCTATTTGTTTAAAAATAAAGCTGTTGTCAGGAAATCTCATTATCCCAGCAGGATGAGAGTCCTTCAGGAGCTCGGATGCTACAGGCACAGAAAGTGATACCAGGAGCCCAGAAAGAAGGTGGAAAGAGAGTTAAACAACCTGGGGCTGTTCTGTGGGACCAGGCAGAGAGGTTTAGGATAAGCTGAGCCAGTGTGTGTTGCAAACAGGAGCCCAAGCCGGGGCCTTATAGAGAGGCACAAGAATCCAGTCCAGGATGAACCAAAGCCCTTTTGGTCATGGGTAGCACCTCTCACCTGAGGTGAGCTCAGTGCTCTACAGAGGTCAGGGCAAGGAATTTAATGGGGATTTAGCTGGAATGCAGCCAATCCTCACCCTAAGGGGATTGTGACCATCTCCCAAACCCAAACTGTTCTCTGGGCGCTCCAGAGAGCACGGGAGATGCTGAGTGACCTGGGTCATGCAGGCAGGACCCGGAACAGAACCCAGTGACCAAGCCTCTTTCTACGATGCCCAGAACTGGGTTTTTGTGCCCATTCAAGCCGTGCTGTGAACACGTCCCAGGCGCAGGCGCCAGCTCACGGAGCCGGGGTGGGCTCCTGCCCTGAAACACTGAAGTCTCTGCCTGAGGAAGTACTCACAATCTTCTCCGGAATAGCCGATGTAGGTGTCAGGCTCCGGTGCTCTGCCAAAGTCATTCTCTGCCTGCACCTTGATCTCGTAGGGGACGTAGATGGGGGTGTTCCAGACAACATGCCTGGGCGCCTTCACGGTCTCGTTGTACCAGCTCCCTCGGGGGTCCCTTCGCCTCCACCGCACGATGTACCTGAGGTTGGGCCCGTAAGCTTGGGTTGCATTCAGAGGCTTCATGGACCAAAACAGGAAAAGAGAGTGAGGAGGAGGAAGAACAACTGCATTGAACAACTGCTGTGGAGCTCTGAAACGTTCTGTTCAGCAGCTGGTTCTCATTTCATGCTCCATCAGCAAATCTCCAAGGAGGTCAATACACTCTTTCCCAGAGAGTCACATCCTAAGCCCTTGCCCTCCAGACCCAAGGCAGGATCAAGACCATAGCCTTATATTCCAGTCCATGATACTACTGCAGTCTCTATCCTCCTTACAGATGCTGGTTTGTGGGTGACACCTGCTGGTCCATGAGGAAAAGCAAGAGCTGCTCTGTCAGCCCTATGTACTACTTAAGGGATCAGACCCCCTGAGCATCCTCCCTAACCTGCACCTCTGACCCAGAATCCTTTCTTTGGCTAACATAGTTCAAATGATTGTTTTTATCACAAACCTTCTCCTAGGCACTAACAATGGCCTCGCTTATAGGTGCATCTTCTGCTTTTTATCCCCTTTCTGATCCTGAAAGTGTTGGTATCCATGTGGTACCTCACACATGCTAGAGATGCCGAGTTCTCTCTGTCATGGCATCTGTGACCCTGATGGTAAGATGCTGGGCCCAGCAGCACAGAAGAACTCACCGTCCAGGTGATCTCCATGTTGTTCTTCTGGGTCCCTGCTCCTTGGACTCCCGTTGGGTTAATTTCAGGACCTGAAATCCACATTGAAATAAAATAAAGAGCAGTTCATAATGGTGGGGAATGCGCAAGCCAGAAGTACTTCCAAGGCAGAAGTCAGTGGCCTGATTTTTCCAGAAGCTCCCATTCAGGTTAATGGAACAGGAGCCTCTCAGAGCTGGTGAAAACCAGGCCATTTATTTAGGAGCCTCTTTCCTTTTCTCCCTCCAGAATGTCCTACATTGACAGAGCCATTGTGCCCCGGGAGCCGAGTCCTCCGCTTGGCATCTGGAACAGGACGAGTGATGTTCAAAGCCAACACTAGATGCCAGCAGATGCCGCCGAAGAGGCTCTGTGATGGCTGCAGTGGGAAATGCAGCACAAGTGCAAAGCTGGTGGATTCCTAAGGGGAATTTTCCCAGGAATTCCACAGGGCACAAAAACTGAAGACAAAAGCCTTGGCTGTGGGCTGGGGTGGCAGGAGCCATAACGCTTAAAGGCAGCTCCAGCCCCTGCCATGGGCAAGGACCCCTTCCACTGGAGCAGCTTGCTCCAAGCCCCTGTGTCCAACCTGGCCTTGAGCACTGCCAGGGATGGGGCAGCCACAGCTTCCCTGGGCACCCTGTGCCAGCGCCTCAGCACCCTCATGGTGTGGATGTGGGCTCCCGGCCAGCTCTGGCAGTGGAATCTGCAGTTTTGGAACATTCAAGCCTTTTACACTCAAGTCTCATTTCCGCAGAGACTTTGGAGCTTCCTGCGGTCAGAAGGGATGGAAGCCTTGCTTTAGAGAGCCTCTCTGTGCAACAGAACCGGCCTTTCCTTCCACAGGCGCTGCTGGAGAGACCTCGGCATCAACCTTTCCATCTGAGTAGTGCTGCATGGACCAGCTCATTCCCTCACCTGTGCGCATCTGCTCCTGTCACAGGAGCTGGGATGTGCACCACGGGGAAGGAGTCTGCATGGAGAGTGGTGGCCAGGAGCTAAGAACAAGAAGTCACCACGGCAAGAGGGAGCGGGTGGGTGGTACTCACGTGCCCCGTTGGTCTGGTAGCGCTCGGAGGGCACGCTGGGCAGGCTGCTGCCCACATCGTTCACTGCTATCACCCGGAACTGGTAGTTGACGTAAGGAGAGAGGCTGAGGATGGCCGAGTTGACGCTGCCGGGGTACCGGGAGTGGTTGTGCCACATGCCGGGCTGGAACCGGTCCTCCTCGAACTGGACGATGTAGTCTGAGGGAGAGGATGGGAGCTGGGGTTAAGGGCTCAGCTCGCAAGGGGACAGGAGGAATGGGATGGACGCGGGCAGAGCGTGTGGTGGCACCTGTGATGGGGCTGTTGTTGTCGTCACCCGGGATCCACGTCAGCCGCACGCTCCTCTCGGCCAGGTCCGTCAGCTCCAAGTCCCGGGGCCGGTCGGGTCGTTCTGGTGGCCGAGTAACAAGAGAAATGAGGCTGGGGTTGTCCCAGGAGCGAGTCCCATTCCCATTCCCACCCTGGCTGCCCCAGCCCACACCCAGGACATGAACTCCATTCACATCCTGCAGCTCTTGGCAGACCAGGGCAAACGCGCTCATGTTCTAATAGTGCCATGCCTTGAAACCCTGCCGCTGCCTGGATCTTCTCAGGTGGTAACGCACAACACAGAAGAGCTTACAACAAACTACATGCAGCTATCCAAGGAATAAATGTGAACAAATGGAATAGAAAGGACACAACACCTCAATGAAAACTAGTTAGAAATGCTATGGGCACCAACCCTGGTTTCTGTATCTGCTCACAGCCCACACGGTCGCACAGAACCAGCTCATGCAATAACAGTAAGAACTTCCTTCCAATCAAAGGTCAAGGGATTCAGAGTCATTTGCTTTTCTCCCATCAGGGCTCACCATTTCCAGGTATGGGTAAAGCCATCCTTGCACTCTGCAAGTGGGACACACAGGACCTTCCTACCTGCGGCCATCTGGATGGGTTTTCAAGGACAACCTGGGCAGGACTTGGAAGCTTCAGCTCCCAATTTTCAGCTGTTTTCTGCTGGTGTTATTGGCAAGGCAAAAGAAAATCATTTCACAAAGTAAAGCAAACGCCATGAATTAGTGGTGATTACCTTTGGGTAAGTCTCTCAAACGGTTAGCGGGGACGGCTGCAAGGTAAGACATTGGATGTTAACGGGGTTAGTTTGGACATTAAGTTTGGGTAGCCAGAGCAACACAAAATCATGGATTACAGAAGGATCCAGCCCTGCCTGGGGACCAGAGGAGGGACAACCCAGAGACCTCCAGGCAAGCTCTGCACACCTCTATTCACCCTTGTAGTACACAGCAAAGGGAGACGTCAGCCTGTTATAGAGTTGATTAGCTATTAGGGGAGAAGGAAGGGAAACAACTCAAGCCCAGTCAAATCATTGGGCATGTGGGCTCATGTTTCACTCTTTTATAGGGCACTGTGGGTCTGTGCCAGCAGCACTGCTAGGTTGGGGCCCTCTGTGAATGCAGCAAGACCTGAGGTGGCCAAGAGCAGGGATTGATGAACTGTGTTGTACCAATAGATCTCACAGGGTACATACATGGGAATGGGGAAGGGGCTTAGGTTTGTCACTGTCTACATTGCAAAGGGGACCTGCAAGGTCACCCCTGGGTTTGCAGTGTTGCTCAGCACCCTGACATTCAGTTCAATGCAGTGACAAATTTAGGGCTGTTCTCCCAGAGCTTCAGCGTCCACATTTGGGTATTTTTAGCTCTGTAATAACCACTCTGGGTTTTTTTTGTCTCAAATGCAAGTTTCCCTCAACTCATTCAATGCCATTGTCTGAGCCGGAGATCAGGCAGCGTGTCCTTGCCGAGTCCTGCAGCAATGGAACAATTGCTTTGCCAGCATCTCTGCTTCAGAGGACAATCCTGTGATCACCTTTTCCATCCGACCTTCACCTTGTTCTATTAAAACAAAGCACTTAGGACAGCCTTACCTAGTACAGTGAGGTAGGCTTTAGCCGAGTCCTTGTCCAGCTCCGTGCTGGCGACGCAGGTATAATCCCCTTGGTCCTTCTCAGCCACACCATATATTGTCAGACCATCATCTTCTTTCTTCATCCTGAAAGGGATGAAAACGATGATCACACAGCTGTGCCCAAGCACATTAGGCAGCAGGATTGAGGTCTAAGTGTTCTCTGATAAAATACATATAAAAGCCCAAAGAGAACAGGAGTATGCCTCTGGTCTGAAGATGGTATCAGCTAAGGACGTGTTGAGTTATTCTGGGAAACCTCATTTCCTAAGGAATGAGTGAATGTGCTCTGCTGTGTACAGGGAATAATCACACTTTTAGGACAGCAGTCTGATTCTCAGTGGTTCATATCCTGTGATTGCATCCCGCTGCTTGAGAAGGGAGTCAGCTATGGAAAAGGAAATTGTAACTGGACCTGATAGCAGATAAAAATTCATGTTGAAGTAGCTTGTTATTAACCCACCCCTTTGCTCGAGGTGTCCTGAAATAGCTGTAAATAAAACCTATGAACTCCGGATTTACTGATAAATCAATATTATTTGCTAGGCAATAGCTGTTGGACGGAGCTGGTAACATTCTAAGTATGAAGACCAGCCCAGGTTGCCTAGATGAGGCCTCCATGTTCATCCATATCATCCCTGGTGACTCTGGAGCTGTTCACCACCCCAGGTGGATGAGAGGCCCCATGGCAGCGCTGCCCACAGACCTGTTCCCCATGTACAGGGGTGCGTCGTCCTTCAGCCAGGTGACGGTGAGCCGGAGCGTGGGGTCGTGCTTGACGCGGCAGTGGAGGCGCGGCATGGAGCCCCTCTTCACCACTTGGTCTTCGGGGCCTCTCACAATCCTCGTTGGGTCTGCAGCAAGGCAGGAAGGAAGCATCAGGCACCGAACTGCTGGGCTCAGCTCAGGAGCTCAGGGAAGAGTGGGGTCACTTGGGAAGGACAAGCAGGCACGTCAAGTGTTGGGGCAGCTTCCCACAGTGAACTGTCCAACGTTAGAGAATCATAGAACAGTTCGGGTTGGAAAGGACCTTCAGATCATCAAGTTCCAACCCCCCTGCCATGGGCAGGGACACCTCACACTAAACCATCTCACCCAAAGCATCATCCACCCTGGCCTTGAACACTGCCAGGGATGGAGCATTCACAACCTCCCTGGGCAACCCATTCCAGTGCCTCACCACCCTAACAGGAAAGAATTTCCTCCTTATATCCAATCTAAACTTCCCCTGTTTCAGTTTTAACCCATTACCCCTTGTCCTATCACTACAGTCCCTAATGAAGAGTCCCTCCCCAGCATTCCTATAGGCCCCCCAACATTAAAAGGGAATCTCTACCATGTTCTGGATTCCAGCTTCAAATGACAAGTGCCCATCCTGCTGACGGGCTGCTGGAGCCCACGACCAACCCTCCCTTAACCTGAACTATTCTTTCTGCTGCAGGTTTCAGGAGATCCGAGAGATCATCTTGACCCAGAGCCCTCTGTGCCCCCTACCTTTAACCTCCAGGCGAACCTGGGCCTCTGCTTTGCCCAAGATATTGGTAGCTACGCAAGTGTAGATGCCCTGGTCCTCCTTCCGAGCCATCTCCATCTCCAAGCTCCCGTTCTCATGTGCCTTGTAGTTTCCTCCATCCAGCGTGTTCCCCTGGCCGTTCTTAAACCTCACAACACCACAGAGTGCTATTGTAAGGGAAGAAAGAGGAGGAAACCTCCCCTTCCTAACCCTCTGGGCTGGCAAGGGATGTGCTGCAGCTCTTACCAGCGCAGGGTGGGGATGGGTGAGCCAAAGAAGGGGCAGTCAAGTCGGGTCCTGTTGTTTTGGATCACTTTGATGAGTTGATTGCGGGGGGCCAGTATCCGTGGGGGGACATCTGCAAAGAGCAAAATCACAGCCACTGAGAAAGAAAAGACAGTGTCTGGTTTCTGCCATTCCCTTTCCATTCACCCCCCCTTCTCTTTTGGTCACTCTTCCATGTTGGCACTTTCAAGACTCAGTAAAGCTTCTCCATTCCCTCTTTAACCTTGCCTTCATCTTAGCATCAGCAGGACTTGCTCAGCCTTGCCTGGCTTTGCAAGTTCATGGCAATGGACTTCTGCTCCATGTGCCTTTGTGCATTAGCCTCAGAGCAGCTAACACAAAGAGGAAAGCACATAGAGAACTCCTGCAGGGAAAACTTGAGTATGGGACATTCATCTGCCATGAGCAGCGTTCATCTTCCATCAGGACTTACCCAGGACACTGACAAAGGCATTGGCAAGGAGGTAGCCATGCTCGTTGGAGGCGTTGCACTGGTACACGGCACTGCTGCCGATCTGGGTATCTCGAAATACAATGGTGTCTCCAGCCACCTCTCGGCTGGGGTTGGGGGGAGAACCTGCAAAACAGAGAGTGCTCCTTCAGCTCACATTACCAGAGAACATCATCATGCATCCCTCTGCCTGCAGAGCAAGGCAGGCGAGGGCACAGCCTGCAGAGACACGGCCCAGCTGGCCCCAGCTCAGACAAGCAGGTGGTTTATGTGCTGTGATGCTGGAGCCCACGCACGCAGCTCAGCGGGTGCCTGGCTCTCATGGTAGATCCTTGGCTAGGAGGCACGGCCTCTCCTTGCTCACCTTCTATGGGCTCGCCATTCACCAGCCACTGGATCGCAGGCTTGGGGTTCCCGTTGGCGCGGCACACCAGCCTGCCGTCCTCACCGGGGGCCAGAATGAGGTTTTGGGGTTCATCCAGCCAGTATGGAGCAGCTTTAAAACACACCAATGCACCGGTTATAACCGCAGCAGCACGAGCTCACCCCAAACCCCCTCTCTGCTGAGCTAACACAGGCTTCCCTGGGTGCCCAAGGGGAGCCTCTTCTCCCCATCTGTGGCCACACAAACACACAACCACTGATGTCAGCGGGGCCCTGCTGGTTACACACGGCTCACACTGCTTCTGGGTCAGATTGGACAAGCAGCGAGGGTGGCTGGATCCAGCACAGGGGCAGCCCCTTCCATGCTGCTGGTTGGGAAGGGCAAAAAGACAGCAAGGTAAAGGTGACGTACCCTTCACTCTCACCGAGATCGTGTGGCGGATGCTGCCCATCTTGTTGGAGGCCAAGCAGAAATACTCCCCGGAGTCCTCCTCGGAGACGTTGGAGATACGAAGAGCCTTGTTAAAGTTCTCCAGCTTGGTTTTGCCGACTGGGAGCTCTCCTCCTTTCTTGTACCACATGATGTCCGGTGCTGGTCTAAGGAGAGGGGAGGAGATGAATCCTTTTGCAAGGCGAGAAAAGGACTGCTAAGAAAACAGCTGAGAATCTTGTCCTCAGCAGGGAGCCCCCCTTGGACAGTGAGCACCCTGCTCCTGTGAACAGGGCTGCAAAACTCAGCTCTCCTGCTCCTCCATGTTCTTACACTCCAAGGGGGTTATGACAGCTACAAGGAAAGGATTGATCTTTTCTGCACCAGGGATTCACTGGGGCCCCCAACATAAGAGGGACCTGGAGCTGTTGGAGCGAGCCCAAAGGAGGCCATGGAGATGCTGCGAGCGCTGGAGCAGCTCTGCTCTGGAGCCAGGCTGACAGAGCTGGGCTGGGGCAGCCTGGAGAAGGGGGAGACCTTAGAGCAGCTCCAGTGCCTAAAGAGGCCAACAAGTGCTCAAGGTCAGGCTGGATGGGGCTTGGAGCAAGCTGCTCCAGTGGAAGGGGTCCCTGCCCGTGGCAGGGGTTGGAAGTGGATGAGCTTTAAGGTCCCTTCCAGCCCAAACCAGTCTGGGATTCTGTTCTATGGTTCAGCATCCTGGTGCCAGGCCACCCTCTCCCCATCCCCACCAGTGGTACGTACACTCCTGAAGCGATGCACTCCAGCAAGAGGTCCACTCCTCTGAGCACCATCTGACTGCTCGAGGTTCCATAGGGATACATGAAGCTGGGGGTCGTTTCCGTGATCCCTCGGGCTGAAATCAGCAGGAGAGAAAGAGAACAAACACACAAACAAAACACAGTGCTTTTAAACTCTCCTTTGGTGCAGCAACGGGGAGGGCACGTAAGGGGTGGGAATACACAGTGCTTGCATGGGGGAGCTGTCAAGTTCCTGGTCAAGCCTGGGATGCTGAACTCACCTGGAAAGTAGAGGGCTCAAGGTAATACTTAATGTAAAAATGGGTGGAGAGAGGATGTTTGGGAGGCAGAGAGGAAAAGGAGCAGCAAAGGATGGGCAGAGGGAGCTGAGCAGGGATGGTCCCATCACCATCAGCTCCCAATGGGGCAGTGCTTTCCTGCCCCCCCTGCCTCTAGCACAAAGAAACGCTCTGAAATCAGATGAGACTTGAAAATCCTGATGGACACAACATGTAGTGAAAGACAAAGGGAACAAATGGGCACAGGAAGGGTTTACTTGGACAACTGAACTGCTTTGCAACAGGGATCTCCGAATTATGGAGCATCCCAGCACTGTCTGGGGCTCCAGCAGCACCAAGGAGGTTTCCCACCCTTACACGGAGCTGCTGGGCCTGGAAGGACAGTGTCCTTTGGGAAGGAACAGCTTAGCCACCAAAAGGATAAATTTCAGGACTGGACAAGAATGTTGAAGAGGAGAAAACCATGATAAGACAGGAGGTGACTCTGCACGTACACACAGTGAAGGTCTCTTCGTAGGGCACAGAAATGCGTTATTAATGGAATAAATTCCATGGAATAAATTCCATTAATAAGTGGAATTATTAAACTAGATCTTGATCAGTGAGGACAAAACAGGATGAGATGGGCTTGAAAGCAGCAGTAGCAGAGATGGAGGTTACGAGATTAGGAGAGGGGACAGAATGGCCGGGGCTGGCACAGGGTCACTGCAGATACCAAATGGATCTTTGGGGAGAGCCCATGGAGCAGGATCTGGGGTGCAGAATGAGCCCTTTTCTGCTTCCTCGATGAGCAGAAGGCAGCCAGGGGTGCCCAGCACCATGAGGCTTTTGGGAATGCCCACAGCTATGTGGGAAGCATCCCCATGCGCTCTGGTAGAGAAAAAGGGCTGGGAAGAGGGAGAAGAGGGAGGGCAGGGGCTGCTCATGGAGTTCCCATCAGCTGGCCCAAGGGAAAGGCTTGGACCAGGCTCACAGTGGGGATGAACCCAACCCCAGGAGTTGAACCGTGCCTTTGAGACGAGCCCGGAGCTGGAGCTCAGGCGCACACGCGCATCCCACCGCTCCACACCCCGATCCCACGCGTGCTCCTCGCTGGGTTAGTCAATTATTGGATTAATGGATTACCAGGAAGGCGAATCTTGCCCTTATCCTGCAGGGCCAGCTCCTGGGGCAGGCACCACCAGGCTGTTCGCTCGCCTGCTTCAGGGGAGGATCTCATCCTGGTTAACCCCAGCCAGCCCATGCTGGGGCTGCGCTGGGAAGGACAGAGCCAGCGCCTGGGCTTAGAGCTGGAGCTCATCATCAGCTCCCATCCCTCTGCAGCCTCGTGAGCTTCTCTCTGCTCACACCATTAGGAGAGTGGGATAAGGCTCTATAAGCCACTACTAGCCTTTCTTAGCCACCAGGCTGTGCGTTTCACCCCCACAATGAACCACTTGCTCCGGAGCCCGGGCCATAACTAGAAGAGATAAGCAGCAATGCAAGCCAGATTTTACAAGCCATATATTAATGATGACAATTAAAAATAAGGGAGATAAATTAGTGTCCTATCCACTTCCTAAGAAAGCCAACAGCAACGCTGCAGAGCTGATGAGCTTTTTGCCTTAGTACAGCATTCCTAACCCATATTTTGCTGTTTAGAGCGGGGAGCAGCCAGGAATTCTCTCAGGCAGAGGAACTGCTCCAGCTGGATGCTGTCACACAAACAGCAAGGTCTCACGCGTGTTTGGATGGAGCAGAACTGGAAAAATAAATCCTGTGGCTATTTATTCCTGCTTAAAAACAGGCTCTGCTTCCAACCTGTTGCTGCTGTGCCCCTGTCTCTGTGAAACGGGACCCGTTCAGCTGTGAACAAGGTATCCCAGGAATGGGCCCTTCTCACCTACCCCTCCCCACAGCCCTGACCCAAGGCATCTGAAGGTTGAACATCAACTCGTGTTGCTGCTGAAAGGCAATAACGGGAGCGAGCACATGGAGGCACATCCCATCTGTTCCCTCCTGCACACTGGAACCAGCTTTAAATCCTCCCGCGGGTTTGCCAAAGGAAAAAGAACAAACCAGCCGTTCATTTCCATTTATAGAGGAACGGGGTGAGAAGCTTCTGCTAATAAAGGATTCAATTAATCCTCTCAGATCCTCTCTTTCAGAACTGCAGACACTTTGCCCAGGCAATTAAGCTTTGCAGCAAGGAAACCACTGCGCCCATAATGAGACACAGGAGAGGGGCCTGGAGGAGTCTCCCGGATGCATCTCCCACATCTGGCCTGGCCCTTGTGCACTGCGAGTGTCCCACAAACTGCTCGTGCCCCACACCCACGCCAGCCGGTCCCACATCCCGAGATGAGCCCAGGCACATCCATCACAGCTCCCGCTGCAGCCCATCCCTGCACGCCCTGCAGAGCCCTGTGCCTGCTGGCTCTGGAGCTGAGCCCGTGCCACAGGGACCAGCACCCCAAAGCAGAGGGTCCAAGAGCCCCAGGTCTCCCAAAACCTAAAGCATGTGGGAGACAAGTCCCTATTCCCCGCCCCTAAGAACTTGCTTTGCTGCAGCTGGTTCCAGCAGCCAGGAGGGCTGGATAGGGCATTCTGGGGAGAAACACAGGCTTAGAAAAGGAAAAAGGGCTGAGGGTAAGAAGTTCATCACCAGATCATTAAGGAATGCTGCCTGGAGCTCAGATTTGCACAGGAGTGTGAGTGAGTGAGTGATCTGAGCCCACTGTTCCATAAAGCATTCCAGGGCATGTTAAGTGCACATAGCCCGTACCATGCAAATACCAGATAGCTCTGCACCTGTGAACAGAGATCTATGAGGCTGTGCAGATAAGACCCCATTTTGCCTACCCAGGTGACTACTGAGCATCCTTTTTCCCTGCACAAAGATGTGGAGCAGGAGATCAAGAAGCCCACAACCACCTCGGTGACTCTCCCTCCCCAGCCCATAAGGCTGCAAGCACCAAAACAGTTCCCAGCCAGCACAAAGGTGTCCTCTTTGGAATGCAAACACCATTTGCACTGTGAGGTGCATGATACATTGAGAGGGATGCTCACCACTGGGTTTCTGTGGTTCCTGGCCCCATATGCCTGTAACAGAGGCATCACCCATGCTCAGCTGCATACTGAGCCATGATGCAGCTGCTGCAGTTCCCATGAAGCTGATTTTGCCAGCAATCCCTTTCCAGAGCCATTTGTACAAATATCTTCAGACTAGACCCAGCCCCTTTTCTGCCACCAGCACGTGCCCAAGGCTGGTTCCTCTGCTGAGCTCCTCAGCATCCTCAGGAGCCTCCCAGTCCAGTGAGATGCTGCATCCCGGTTCCCTCGACGTTCATGGGGACACTGCCCCCAGTGCTCTCACCTGGCACATCCTCCTCTCCTCACACTCCAACTCTCTCTGCTCTAAGCTGGCAAAAGCACTTCTTGTCCCCAAAAGTCCCCATGGAAGAAGGAAACACTGGGATCCGCAAGGCACAAAGTGAGCTGGGCCTGCGGGTGGGAAGCTGAGCAAGATTTCACTACAGGACGTGGCTGGGGACCAGTGTGGGGTCCCCATAAGCAGCAAGGGGGGCACAAAGCAACCCCTTGCCCACACCAGTACTGGCCTGGGGCAGTCAGGCTCTGTGGTGGTCTCTGGTTCACACCCCTGGTAGTGCCTGTGCTCCCTGCAAACAGCCCCGTGTCCCCCCATGCAAACCCTAACCCTAACCCCACGTTATCCCACCCCATCCATGACACTGCCAGTCTGTTCTCAGCACCGGGGGCCACGTGCTTTGTGTCTGAAGCATAATTTATGAGTGTGGGATGGGCTCTCCCAGCAAACATCGGCTCCGGAGGTGATCTCCCTGCCCAGACAAAGGGGAAGAGCCTCAGACAGCATCCAGCGCATGTACAACCTCGCCGCAAAGAAACAAAGCACCCGGAACCAAACCCGGACTCCTTTTTGTCCCCTTTTCTCCCTGTGCTTAGCTGCGAACACAACAGATGCTCTTCTGAAGACAAGGAGAGGGATGCTGGGTCTCATCTTTACATTAGGAGCCTTGCTGAGGACACTTCAGCAAGGCAGCAGCAGCCTGGGCTTGCTCAGCCCTGCACTTGGGCCAGACCCCAGTAACCCCAACACCTCTCAAGCCTCTGTGCATCCGGTTAATTCACTGAACACTCAGCCCCTGGGACCAGTGAGAACGTCAGGGGGGTGTCACCCTTCGGCTCGTTTTGCCCCGCTTGTTTTGGCCAAGTTGAGGCCACGACGCACAAGGGGGCCCGGGGCACACACGTTGGGGTTAGCAGGAGTCAGTGGGGTTAGGCAGGAGGGGGTTAACCCGTGGAGCTCTCCAGAAGCCAGCGTTGACTCACCACTGTACATGGCAGTGTGATTTCCTAAGGACGTTTCGTTATGGGGTTTCTCTGCAATAAACAAAAGACCGTGAGCGTCCCGAGGGCCGCAGGGGGGCAGGGGCCAAAGCGCTTCCCAGGACACGAGAGCAAGGAGGACAGGGAGGAGCAGGGACACAGAGGCACTCTGAGCACAGCTGCCTGCCAGGACAGACACCACAGCAATAAAGGGGAGGCAAAGAGGACTCAGTCCCGCCTATGGGATGGGAAAACACATCAACGGGTGAAAACTGCATCATAAGCATTTCCTTAGGGTGTTCTGTTTGTTATACATTTATATCTTTGGGGAAGGGGGAATAGCTCTGTTCAGTTTGGAGAAGAAAATGGGGTTTCTCTTAGTTAACTGTGAGGGAAACACATTCCAGCCCCTCTTTCCCAGCATAAGGCATAGGCTGGACCCAGCCAAGCAGCAGCGTAACAGTGCAGAAGGGCATGGGGAAGATGAACAAATAATAACAATAATTAGGTCCTAAAAGCACAATCTGGTGGGAAATCCCTTTTAATTTGCAGATAATTAAAGTAGCTGTTGCCACGTGCAGAACACCAGCGTCTCAGTAACGCGCTGCTCTCATGTAGTGACAACCACCACCTCTGCTGGAAGAAACAAGCCCACAGCTGCTGAGGACCTGCCCTCCTCAGCTCACACCGTCACCTAAAGTACAGTTTTGGTGTCCAAGAACACCCTGGTTCCCCCTAGGATGTGGCACAGCCATGCTATGGAGTCATCTGCCCAACAAGAGATGCCACAGGCTGTGTTGGCTACCATATAACGGTCCCCCTGAGCCTTAAGTCATCAGCCACACACCATGCCTCTGTGCAAGGGTGTCAGGAGAGCCCCGCAGATGCCCAAGAGGTACCTGAACCTGGATACCAAGTGTTCAAGGCCAGGTTGGACAGGGTTTAGAGCAACCTGCCCTACTGGAAGGTGTCCCTGCCCATGGCAGGGGTTGGGACTGGAGGAGCTTTAAGGTCCCTTCCAACCCAAACCATTCCAGGAGTCTGTGATTCACCAGAGGAACTCTGTATCACTTCCCAAAAGCTCCCTATTTTCCTCCTCTGGCAGCCCAGGGCATGGCAACCCCATGTAATGATTTCTCAGCAGCTGATGAACTTCCTTTAATGCTCCTGGCTTAAGGCTAAGATGATGGAACAGCTTGAGACAAACACCAGCTCATCTCCTTTGAACATCATAAAGAACTTTATCTACCCAAGCTGATGAGGAATTAGACCCTCAGTTCTTTACATTAGAAGGGCCTCTGTGCAGCTCTTGGGATGGGGTTTGCATCTGATGGTAACAGAGCAGAAAGGAAAGCTTAAAGAGAGGATCCAGGAGAACTGAAAGCCATTTCTACAGAGCTCGGGAGCAAAACGCTCTGGTGGCATCTGAGTGTGCAGGAGGGGAGCTCGTATCTGTTCACAGGAACCAGAACCTCTTCCATGTGTTCTCTAGAGCTGCACAAATCGGGATGGAGCCTTCGGTGCTCAAGTGACAGCAGGTCTCTGTTTGCCAGGATTTGCCCAGCTCACACCAGTGCAGGGCTCAGTCCTTCCCCAGCAGGTAACTTTCTGGCCAGCTCTGTGCACCCATGAGGAACACTCACAGTTAACTACCTACACACATCCCTCACCATCAGCAGAGCTGATACTCTGTCTTGCTGATTCTCCATTCATGCTTTGCACCAAGGAGAAGCTGTTATGGTAAAAGTGCAAAACCCTCCAGGCCCTGTCTGCTCTCACATCACTCCCAGCTCACTTTAACAGCCCTACTTCTCATTTAAGCTGCTGCAAGTCCCAGTTAAGCTCCTAACGCCAGGATTTGGGAGCACCTTGTGCCTGCTTCGCACAGGGGTCTGCTCCCCAAGCCTTGCATCTGCCAGCACACACTCACTGGGAACAGGAGATGGCTCCTGCCTGATGGCTGGGGCGCAGATGCTGTTCCTGTGCTGGTTGCTGCCCTGCAAAGGAGAGCCCAAGCTCTGCAGGACCTGCACCAACTCCAGAGCATCGTGTCCTGCAGGGCTCTGGCATCAGGAGCAAACCTGCCTTCAAGCATGCCTGGAGAGAGCCGTGCACGTGCTCCTCCTGCTCCCCAAGCCAATGCTCCTCGCCGTGGTGAAACGGAGATGGCTGCATCTCCTGCTCTCCTGAGTGCACGCTCAGAGCCCTCCTGTGATCACATTCCAGAGCAGAGCCCTCCTGTGATCACATTCCAGAGCAGAGCCCTCCTGTGATCACATTCCAGAGCAGAGCCCTCCTGTGATCACATTCCAGAGCAAAGCAACAGCTCCTGCCCCATAGGTAAACCCTGAGCTGTGTGAGGTTCACACACACTCAGTCCCCCAGTGCAGCACCTGCACATGAACCTGGAGCAAACCAAGGCTCTTCCCAGCTTTTCAAACTGGGGAAGCATCACTTGATATTACACATTTCCTTCAGGATGGGGACAGTGCCCCACCTGTGGTGAAATGCTTTCCAGTCTATACCAGACACACAGAGATACCCGCACCAAGCTGCCTCTGCAGCCCTCAACCCCTGAAGCTGTGATGCTGGAGGGAAAGCATCCCTCAGCCCTCATCCAGACTGGTTCTTGTCCCACCCTAAATGAAACGCAGGAAGCCACTCTTCTCCCTGGTAGCTCTCAGTGCTGTCAAGGGCAGAAATCAGGTGTGTGGAAGGAAAACCCTGCCTGAGAGGCCGGGAAGAGCCACCCCGAGCGGTCACCGTGACACTTACTGGTTTTCACCTTGAGGGTGTAGGGGTTTTTCTGCTGGATGGTGTGGGTGAAGTGGAAGCGCGCATTGCAGCTGTAGTCGGTCTGGGCATCCTGCAGCATCACGTTGGAGAAGTACAAGTCCCCGTTCTGGCCCTGGGAGACGCGCTTGTCCTGGTGGATTGGCTCCATGGCTGCAGGGCAGGAGAGGCATTGAGAGCAAGTCAGGTACCCCCACAGGTGGTAAAGGAGAAAAGCAAACCCAGGACCCAAGCTACACATCACAGAATGGGTTGGAAAGGACCTCAAAGCTCCTCCAGCTCCAACCCCTGCCACGGGCAGGGACCCCTTCCACTGGAGCAGCTTGCTCCAAGCCCCTGTGTCCAACCTGGCCTTGAGCACTGCCAGGGATGGGGCAGCCACAGCTTCTCTGGGCACCCTGTGCCAGCGCCTCAGCACCCTCACAGGGAAGAGCTCCTGCCTAAGAGCCCATCTGGGTCTCCCCTTGGCCAGGTTAAAGCTCTGTGTGCCACACAAGTGCCTCCAGCTCTGAACAAGCAGCAACAGCGCTCAACAGAGCTATTTGAAATGACCACCGCAGGGGATGGAGAGGCTGCCCATGGGGTCCATGGGGAAAGGGGTTTTCTCCCAACTCACAGCTGCTCATCCAGAAGATGACGGGAGAGGGCAGGCCTGGTGGCGGGTTGCACTGCAGGCTCAGCGGAGCACCTTCATCCACCTCTATCACATCCACCTTCTCCTTGGGCCACAGGGGAGACTCTGCCATTAGAAGCAAAGACACCACGTGAGGAAGGGAGGGTGGCAGCGCTGTCGTTCTCTTCCCTCTGGACCTGTCCTGGTTTCGGTGGAGTGGCCTCAATGCAAACTTCATTGCTATACACCCAAGATTCCAAGTGTACCCCTGCTAGCTACAGCCATCACCCCCGTGCCTTCATCTCAGCCCTGTTGCTGGATGCACCCCAACACAGGTAACGGGGGCAGGATGAGATATTTGAGCACTCCAAGCCTCTCCTACGAGCTCTCATGTGATGCTCCCGGCTTTCAGGCTGCTGGCTCTGCTGTTACTCACTGGAGACCTGGAGGTGGATCTTGCTGGAGAGGGCAGTGCCGTAGTCATTCCGGGCGAAGCACTGGTACTCGCCCTCATAGTCCTCGGGCCGGCCCCCGCTGTGGAAGTCAATGACCAGCGTCCCCGACCGCCGCCGCATCGACACCTTGGGGTCCTTCGCCACGTTGAAGAACTTCCCGTTCCGTGTCCAGGAAAAGCTGCAAGCACGGGGAAAAGGTTGGGTTTGTACCATGGACCGTGTGGACCCGGCCAGGTCCTTACCTGAGCTCTGATGAGCAGCAGAGCTGCGGCGCAAGGGCTGAGGATGCGCTTACGTGGGCACAGGGTTCCCTTTGGCTTCACATTCAATGAAGATGTTATCCCTTGGGTCGACAATGTAGTCCTTCACGGACTGCTTGGTGATTGTGGGGGGCTGAGGCACTGCAAAGCAAAGGAAAAGCCATGAGGAGGGGGGTGTGGAGAGGGTGAATCCCTTCTTTGCCATCCTGCAGCAGATCCCGATGGGGTTTCAGCTTCTTCCCCAGGCTGGATGGACAATTTGTGCTTTAAAGACCTCCAACACCTGAGGGATTTCCCATGGGGGTGCTGTTCATCACCTCTTGAACCCTCAGCACTCGGGGTACCAGAAAGCTCCTGTTTCTCACTTGGTATCTTGGTGCCATTAAGGAATTTCACAGTCACTGCAGACTGAATGGGACCGAAAGGCATCCTGGCTGCGCACCCCACAGAGAGGGGCTGCAGCTGGGACTGGGAGCCCGAGCCCCACAGCAGGACCCTTAGAGGTTCTCTCTGTGCAAACCCCCCTGGGTTACCCCAAGAGGCGCAGCACTGGGGCCTGGAAGTGCAGGGCGTGTGAGAGGCATTGCGCATGCAGGGCATGGCTCTGCTCCCCAACTGAAGAGCTCAGCCCTGGGGCTGACCTGGAAGGAAGCTGCTCAGGTCCAGGGCTGTTTGCTCTGCCCCTGAGAGCTACAGCGATGCCCGAACATGTGAGCCCATGGAGCCCATTGGGCACACGCACCCATGCAAGGCAGAGGAACCTGCTCTCCCCTGAGCATTAGCAGTACCAAGCCCCTGCAGAAACAACATTCGCCTTGCAAAGAGAGCCCAGCTCCTGCTCCAGGGACAGCAGCAGAGCCCAGGCACTGCTCCCAACCTCCTCCAGCACCTCCCTGTCTCTCCCAGCCATGCCTGAGGCTGGATTGTCTCAGTTCTGGCCACAGAAGTGGGCAATGCACCCAGTCACCATGTGCCAAGCCACAGCCACCGGAGCCCCTACGCAGCACGGACCCCTCGTGCCCTGGTTGGGCCATGCAGGACAGGCATGCACCCGGGGGCGAGGGGAACACTTACATTCACTCTGAATATTTGCTGTTATTCCCAAAGTGCAAGCATGATGGGGAAAAGAGACAAGGTTAATGGAGGAACAAACCCGCACACGTCCCTACACAAACCTGGGGTTACCGTAGGGCTCGCAAACACTACACACAAACCACGTCACGACCCGAGCGTGTTCTCATCTACTGCAGAGGAGTCCCATTGATGCTAACAAAGCCAGGGCTGAAGGAACCACCTCGTTGTGTGCATCCAGCAAAATACCCATTGCTGGGAACAAGAGGGGTGGCTCCAGGGTATTTTCAGCTGCAGGGACTCGAGCCTGGGACCCTGTGCCCTCATCTACCACAGGTCTTTATTCCCCCCCATAAATCAGAGCTCTCCCACCCTTTCTCTTGTCTTTTCCCAGTGTCAGCCAGAAGCCACCACCTCAGGTTCTTCCTCCCCATTTTGCTGCCCAGAGCCAGGGGTCAGCAAGAGCCCAGAGGGCAGAGATCCCTCCTGTCAGGACAGCTTTGTGGCTTGGGGCTGGATTCAGAGCCTGGCCCAGGGCTGCGCTTCCCTGCTGGCACTGTGCTCACTGGGGGGCTGTGCACGGTGGGCAGGAGGAAGAGGCTCCCGCAGCCTTGGGCTGATGGTTACAGCAGCAGCTACGGGAGGAGCTGGGCCCCAAGGGAATGGCACGAGTGGTTTCCCCACCTCAGGTGCATTCAGACAGCTCCTGAAGATGCCCGCTCAGCAGAAGCATCAGCCCGTGGCCCCCTTCCTCCTCGCTCCATATCCCCCAGCTCTTCCATAGAACATAATTCCCAGCTCACAATTAACCACAGAGTCCCGAAGGAGAGAGATAAACCACACTGCTCTGCAGGACCTGCCTGGGTCTGCACTATCCTCAAGGACATAGGTGCCAGATAAGACCAGCAACGTGCTCATATGTGGTTGTGAGCCCTCTGCTCAGCTTTTTGATAAATCACTGTTTGATTTAGACAACCTCAGTGGCTTTATAAAGTGGTTTATAACAAGAAAAATAGCCCCAGACAAGCACCAGTGAAGAAAAGCTGAGGCAGGAGCAGGACCTGGGCTGGCCACATCTCCACCTCCTCAGTGGGAGCTGTTAAAGCGGTAAACCACAACTTACAGTCCAGAGGGACTTCAATGGCGCTGACGAGGTGATGAAGGTAGAGGGCGAATGCTATTCCTGCGCAGGTGAGGTGGTGTCTTTGCATGACCATTTTGGATGCTGGGCAGCCTCAGGACCTCAGTCGTATCCCCCAGGGTGAGCAGAGCAGCAGCACACACGGAGGGATCCTCAGCTGCAAAGCAAACACAGAGCCAGCATTACCGACCCAGTCACAGCCCCACCTCTGCCTTCTTCCTATTGGGAACCCTGGAGCATTTCCAGTCCAAAGATATTGGTGTGAAGGGACGGGGGGGTGAAGAGTGCCAGGAAAAGGGTCTCCAGGCTCTGGTGACCCAGGTACAAGCCCATGGTTGCGGTCCTCCAAACCGCTGGCAGAAAATCAGCCTCTTGGGGTTGTTATGTCCTGACCTCATAGGTTTAGGCAGAAGCTCTTCCCTGTGAGGGTGCTGAGGCGCTGGCACAGGGTGCCCAGAGAAGCTGTGGCTGCCCCATCCCTGGCAGTGCTCAAGGCCAGGTTGGACACAGGGGCTTGGAGCAAGCTGCTCCAGTGGAAGGGGTCCCTGCCCGTTTCCAGCTGCTTCGCTCCCTGTGCCAGATGTGCAGCAGCACCATCCCCACCTCCCGGGGGCTGCCAGGTTATCACACGCATCCCCATACTTCTTATTTTGCTGTTAAACCCACAGGCTAAATGCAGATTAATAAAGAGTGAAAAGGAGGAGAAATCATCCCATTTGTACCATAAAAGCCCCTTAGAAACGCTGCTGTGGTGCATGGTGGCTGAGATACAGCCCTCTGTAATAGAGCTATAAAAAGGACATCAGCCGTGCAGAGAGCCCAGCTCAGAACAAGAATGGAGCTAGGACAGCGAGCAGTGGAAAATCCCAGCCTCGCTCCATGCTGCTCCTGTCCAAGGTGGGATGTGGCCAGGCAGGGAGCGGTGCTGAGGCCATTTGGCAAGCAAGGAGAGCCCGTCTCCATCACACATAAATCAGCTTTGGATGCTGCTGCTGCCCCTTCAGCTGTTCCCAAGCCCAGTGTGGAGCGGGAGGGAGGAGGCACTGGGAACAACGGAGAAACAGGGGGTGCTGGGGGGCTCCGGGTCCAGAAGGGGATGCTGCTGGGAGCCAGATGTCACAGAGAACAAACAGCCCTGACCCATGGCCCCGGGCAGGCTCAATCCCAGCACAAGGCAACTCTTAAGGACACTTTTCCCTGTTATTCTTATGGGGAACCAGATGTTCTTGATGGTTTCCCCATCCAGCCCTGCCGGGTGCGAGCAGGGTCTCCGGGGCCTGAAGGAGCTCTCTTGTCCCAGTTACACCCAGTGACAGACTGTGGGTTGGGAAGGGGCTTGGAGGGGAGGGAGCGCTGCTTTGATCTTTTCTGCTCATTCCAAGGATTTTCCAATCCAGCTGCTGCAATAGAAGAGTTAAGGGACAGAACGATGATAGGAGCGAGGCAGTGATTAAAGTCATGTCCCGGCCTCGTGCAGCCCTGTGAGCAGGTCACGCTGAACAAAGCCTTTCCAATGACTTCTTTAGCTTTCTGTCCAAGGGAAAATGGCATTTTGATCTGTAGCCTTCCTTTCTGAAGTGGTTCATTTCTGCAGTTACAGCTTAACGTGAGTAACGGGTCAGGGGGTTTTATGCCCTTCTGTTACGAGCCCAACTTTGGAACTGAATCAGCCTGAATACTGCAACCAGGGATTTTGTGAGGCTGGAGTTTCTGGGGTCCTTACTGTGCTCACACACTGATGCTCCCCATCACTGCCACAGAATGCTCTAAACCCCTCTTCATTCGCAGATGAAGTATGGGAGGAAAGGTGCAAGACAGCAGGCATTTAAATAGCACGCATTTAAATGCTGCTGCAGCCTGGAAAGCAAAGAATGTGCTGGTTCCTGTAAGCTGGGGACTAGTTCATGTGAAAGACATGGGAGTGACCTGGAAGAGCAGGCTCGGGGCACAGGTGCTTGGGAGATATTTGTCTACATGGGAATGCCCTGGATGGGCACCAGGCAGGGAGGACAGGGCTGCCCGTGCAGAGCTGCGCATCCACCGACCAAGAGCAAACAATGAACCCAACAGAGCAGGCACAAAACGGATCCCCACCTTCAGGAGAGCAAACACCAGGCTCCTCCAGGGCCCCTTTGTCCGGGGCAGATGTGGGTGCGCTGCGCCCCAGCAGCACGCTGCAGACGTGCCTGCGCGTGTAGGTGGGTGCTGGGGAACAGGCAGTGCCCAGAACACAGCCCCCATTGTCCGGGTGCTCCGAGCCCGGGGACGGGGACATCTCCCAGCACAGAGGCTGGAGCCGAAGGAGGGGCATGAACGTGCTCATGTGGGGATGCTCAGAGTCGTGAAGCTCACCCAGCGCTGAGCCTGCACCCGAGCACCAACAAAAGCCACATCCCACTGGTTCCTGCAGCTCCGGGCAATGGGGCAGGCTCAGATGCCTTTTCCCCCAGATATTTCCCCAGAGTTCAGAAATGGTTTCCAGACTTGTTGCTGTTTTCCCTCTCCCTGTGACCCACTCCCAACAAACAGTCTGCGTTGCGAAACGCACCCCAGGCCTTGGCTCAAATCTCCCTCCAGAGGCATCAGATACTTCTGTGAGTAAGAGGAGGATGTGAGACCTTAACTCTGCTCCATTTGGAGCCTCCTTCCTCACTCTGAACAGCACTGCAGGGAAAAGATTAAATGCAGACCCCAGGGGATGATGGAGACACCCATGATGGGGTGATGGAGGCACCCGTGATGGGGTGATGGAGACACCCGTGATGGGGTGATGGAGGCACCCGTGACGGGGTGATGGAGGCACCCGTGACGGGGTGATGGAGGCACCCGTGACGGGGTGATGGAGGCACCCGTGACGGGGTGAGGTCCCCAGCGGGGACCAACCCCCCATGAGGTGCTGATGATCCCAGCACCCCCCAGGCAAGTACACCTTGATGATCTCAGCAGCCATGTGGTGAATGGGATGGCAATGAAAGCAGATCCGGCCCCCGCATCCTGCTCCAGGGTCATTGCCTGGCTCTGCTGCAAGTTTCACACTCTCAAGTTTCTCGTTATGTAAAGTCACCACTCACGTACCAATAATTAAAGCAGAAAAGAGCTCTGGGCACTTTGGAAGCCACTGCAAAACCTGCAGTGAAAGGGGAAAAAGGCCAGGTTGGACACAGGGGCTTGGAGCAAGCTGCTCCAGTGGAAGGGGTCCCTGCCCATGGCAGGGGTTGGACCTGGAGGGGCTTTAAGGTCCTTCCAACCCAAACCATTCCATGGGTCTATGAAAAATCAGCTTTTCTGACCCCTGCAGGTCCTCCCCATGCCAGGAATGCCATGGATGGTACTGCTATAGAGGGGCTCTCTACAGACACTGCCTCCTTCCTCACTTCACAGCTCCCAAGGGGCACCAAGCGGGTGTCCACCAGCCTGGCAGAGCCACAGACCTTCACAGCCATGCAGAAGAGACTTGGAATCTCTCTTTCTCCACACTCATCAATTCCATCTGCGCACTGCTTCCTCCCTGCCTTGGGATGGGGGAAACCTCTCCTCTCCACAGATGGCGGAGAGCTGCTCTAATGCATCCTCATTCCCAGCCCCGGAGCATCCCTGCTTCCCCCCGTGCTGCAGAGCCACAGTTCCCATCTGCTCGGCACCAACAGGTTTCCCATTGGCTTCGACTGGCCCGGCCAGGAGAGGTGGGAGGGGGAGGTTTGCCCGTGACAGGCTCTTTCCCAGCAGCCAGGGGCTGGCTGAGGCTGGACATGCTCTGCTCATTAGCAGGACATGAGCCCATGCCATGGAATCCACTTTGCTGCTTCTCCAGCCGGGCTCCGCGGCGCTGGAGGGCAAAGGAGACAGGCAAAGACCTCCTGCTGCAGAAATGCACTCAGCAGAAGCCAGGACCCTGACCCTGTGCAGGCTGATTTGGCCAAAACTTGGCTCTTCAGCATCATTCCCAAAACCACATCCCTGCAAATCACAACACGCGGAATGTCCTGCTCCAACCCCACTGGGCTTCATCCTGCCCCTGGGAAGCCGAGCAGAGCAGGAGGACTTCCCCTGCGAGCACAAAGAGCATTGGGGAAGGGTTGAGATTAACTCCCAACATCTTAATGAAATGAGACCTTCCGGAATAAGGATGGAAACAAATCCCTTCCCCATAGCCCTGCTCCTGCAGAACGACCACAGGGATGAACTCTCCGAAGCAGAGAGGGGGCTGCAGAGCAGACGCAAGAACAGGAAGCAAGGGGAATCTCTGGTTGAAATTAAATGAAATTAAACCATTCTGCAATGAAGGATTGGTTTTAGTCAGCTCATTGGGTCCAGCAGGATGCTTTCAGGAGCAATTAGGCATTTATCCTTATTTACGGTTGTAACAGGAACAGTAAAACTCGAGCTGTTAGTGTTCCCAAGAAGATTCCTACAGCACCATTTAATGCATTTCAACCACTTAATTAGTACTGATTGAATAGCACAGAGCAACATTTCCAGAAGGAGAAAACCCTTTTTGTTTCAGAGAATGGAAAACATTGGTTTAGAGGGAATACATTCATGGGATTCCCTAACAACGACTAAAGGCTCCGCTTTGCTCCTGCTCCGTTCAGGCTCTCCCCGGCCTTCCAGCACCATATGGAACACATCAGAGGGGTTTCCAGGTTGATGACTTCCAGGCCATAAACCTGCACCCCCCCACCCCCTTTTGTTTGGCAGGGACAGGACCTTCTGTCACACCTTGTGGAAGCCACCACGTGTGTGCCAGCCCATCCTGACACTGCATCAGTGGAACGGCTCCGTGGGGTTGAAATCCATGCAAGGAGCAGGGACCCACTTTGTGACATGTGGGTGGCAGGGATGGACACATCCACACACCTTTCTATTTCCCTGCTCATGCACACATACCCACCAGATGTACGTACAGCTGTGTCCTTACAACCCACACAAGAAGCCTCTCAAAGCAAATGTTGCATTACAGCACAGAAATCAGTGGGGAAAAGGAAAGGAATGATTATGAAGCATTCAAATCCAGGTTGGACGGAGCTTGGAGGAGCCTGCTTGAAGGCTTGAAGGCATCCCTCCCCGTGGCAGGGGATTGAATTGGGTGAGCTTTAAGGTCCCTTCAACCCAAACCATCCTGTAAAGCAGCAAGGCAATGATCACAGGGACAGGATG